AAAATACCCAACAGACATTTAACATGAAAGAAAATTTAAAGAAACTGTGGACTATCCTAAATGGAGACAATCACCCAGAAAAATTAAACAACAGTAAAATATGAACACTGGTGTTGTAATTTTGATATATTTCCAGATCATGATATACAAAAGTCCAATATAACAAATCACTCCAATACACAATATAAGATAGGTGTGTATACACTGCTGTGTTAAGTTTTCAGGGACATCAAATCCCCTAACAATTAGATTGTTTCTAAATGTATAACTCTATTCTTAACTAATGGCCTTTGTACATGTTGAGGTTCTGGCGGGAAAAGAATGAAGATTAACGACACTAATCTCCCAGTCAGGTACAGAGTATTACCAGTAATAATGAACTCATTAATCCATTATTAGATATTTAAAGTAAAAGTTACTGAAATAGGTTGTCAGGTACTCTATAACAGTAACGTGTGCTAACTGGTTTGTATAATAAGGTTACACCACAGCAGTGCTTTTTGTTAAATACACCATTTGTCTCTAAACTTATAGAACCTAATCTACTGTTGAAAGGCCATTCATATATTTTCTATACAGAGACAACACAATACTGTGCAACAACTGTTACATAAGACATTAATATTTATATCAAGATTGCAACCACCCCCTCTACATTTTTTTAATTGGCATGAATACATAACTTTGAAACAAAACATCTACAAAAATTCATTTTTTTCACATATTCTTTCAAAGTTTTATCACCTGTAATTCTACTGTACAGAACTCTATTTTATCACCTGTAATTCTACTGTACAGAACTCTATTTTATCACCTGTAATTCTACTGTACAGAACTCTATTTTATCACCTGCAATTCTACTGTACAGAACTCTATTTTATCACCTGTAATTCTACTGTACAGAACCTCTATTTTATCACCTGTAATTATACTGTACAGAACTCTATTTTATCACCTGTAATTCTACTGTACAGAACCTCTATTTTATCACCTGTAATTCTACTGTACAGAACCTCTATTTTATCACCTGTAATTCTACTGTACAGAACTCTATTTTATCACCTGTAATTCTACTGTACAGAACTCTATTTTATCACCTGTAATTCTACAGTACTGAACTCTGTTTTATCACCTGTAATTCTACTGTACAGAACCTCTATTTTATCACCTGTAATTCTACTGTACAGAACCTCTATTTTATCACCTTTAATTCTACTGTACAGAACCTCTATTTTATCACCTGTAATTCTACTGTACAGAACTCTATTTTACCACCTGTAATTCTACTGTACAGAACTCTGTTTTATCACCTGTAATTCTACTGTACAGAACTCTATTTTATCACCTGTAATTCTACTGTACAGAACTCTATTTTATCACCTGTAATTCTACTGTACAGAACCTCTATTTTATCACCTGTAATTCTACTGTACAGAACTCTATTTTATCACCTGTAATTCTACTGTACAGAACCTCTATTTTATCACCTGTAATTCTACTGTACAGAACCTCTATTTTATCACCTGTAATTCTACTGTACAGAACTCTATTTTATCACCTGTAATTCTACTGTACAGAACCTCTATTTTATCACCTGCAATTCTACTGTACGGAACCTCTATTTTATCACCTGTAATTCTACTGTACAGAACCTCTATTTTATCACCTGTAATTCTACTGTACAGAACCTCTATTTTATCACCTGTAATTCTACTGTACAGAACTCTATTTTATCACCTGTAATTCTACTGTACAGAACCTCTATTTTATCACCTGCAATTCTACTGTACAGAACCTCTATTTTATCACCTGTAATTCTACTGTACAGAACTCTATTTTATCACCTGTAATTCTACTGTATAGCAATTTATTTTTATCACTGGTAGTTATACTATATGGTTATCTAGTTTCATCACCTGTAATTAAAATGTATGAAAATTTATTTTCAACAACTCTAATTTTACAGTATTGATCAACATTGTTTCAGTAAAGACACCTTTATCAATCAAGTGAAACTAACCATACCGTTGATATGTTGAATTTAAGCATGACCCCTTCTCTGCTACAGTATAGTATTTCTCAAGAAATAGCAACTACAACCTATTATAAGATACCTAAGGCCTAACAGTTTTGAAGTACTAGTCTATTACAACTACTCCAATTTAAACGTGGGTAATTTTTCATTCAGAAGCAGACTTGGTCAAAGCCGAGTTGATCTGAAATAGCCAATACATCTTTTCATTTGCCATTTTGATAATAATTTTTTACTTTATCTATAGAACATTAAAAAGTTAATATCGTATGAATCAAACCAAAGTTTAGGCCTGTCAGGATTTCAAGATACCTGAGGGCTCAACAGATAACTGCATGTTCAGATGATAGAGAAGATTTACGTAAATATTTGAAGTATGTAATGAAAATTATCTCGTTTGTGAATTCTGTAAAAGAAACCTTGAAAATATGCCAATAAAAACTTCATAAGGATAAGAAATACACTTGTCAATCATAAGTTTGTATAGATGGTTCATATTTCAATGTCTATCACTTCAACTCTTCTCCTTTATTTGGGGTGAAGTTATCAGGATGCTATGAATAGCTTCAGTTACACAGTAACTATCCACTTTTTATACGTCATGTACTCTACAATCTGAAAGCATGTCTTCACTACATGTGTATCTTTACCTAGACATAGACTAACAGGAGTTATGTCCCTTCCATTACAAATTGTGATGTGGCAAATATAGAAAGAGTTGTGTCCCTATTCATACATTGAGCAATAGTGAATGTGGCAAAGACAGAAAGACTTATGTCCCTTGATATTAAGTAACAATCTATTGCAGATTCTACCTGTAGTTGTACTGCCATTTCTAACCTCTTGTATGAGTATCAGTCATTTGTCATCAAATTGTTTGTCATGTGACCGGTTACCATTGACTTTGAGGTCATCCATCAAACATTTTCTTGATATTGATTTAACAAATCATTCTCTCATTCTTGAGATGAAGATGACATGATGTTTTGTTAATGTGGTGTGAACCATATGTCTATCAGTAGTATACTGCATAATCCTCTAAGTATAACAAAGTGTCACGTCATATTCATTTCTGTATGGTAAACACTACACAGGATGTTTGTATTGTGGCCACATCATATTCATTTATGTATTGTAAACACTTCACAGGATGTTTGTATTGTGGCCACATCATATTCATTTCTGTATTGAAAACACTACACAGGATGTTTGTATTGTGGCCACATCATATTCATTTCTGTATTGTAAACACTACACAGGATGTTTGTATTGTGGCCACATCATATTCATTTATGTATTGTAAACACTACACAGGATGTTTGTATTGTGGCCACATCATATTCATTTCTGTATTGTAAACACTACACAGGATGTTTGTATTGTGGCCACATCATATTCATTTCTGTATTGTAAACACTACACAGGATGTTTGTATTGTGGCCACATCATATTCATTTCTGTATTGTAAACACTACACAGGATGTTTGTATTGTGGCCACATCATATTCATTTATGTATTGTAAACACTACACAGGATGTTTGTATTGTGGTCACATCGTATTCCAGTACTCTGTATTGTTCAAATTGTTAAATGAATTATTGGATAAGTTGGTATAGTTGGTTACTGATAATCATCAATAAATATTGTGTATTCCAGTGAACATTGATAATTTTATCAAAAGTACAGAAATTAAACTACAGATATTGTAAATATCCAAGAGATATGATGTTTTAACAGTCAACAGGAAACTCAAAACATCATTTCATCAGAAATTACCATCATGTGGCAGACTCTCATAGGGTGATAGAACAGTAGTTCTTATACTACAGCCAGTAGAAAATTGGTGTGTGACGTTTTGATGACTACATGATCACATTCATCTGACAAATGACCAGTGTGGAGCGTACAATCAACTACAAAGCATTGTAATAATAACCACATAATATATTTTTTCATTTAAATTCTGTTAACCATCTCGTCACACTATTTTCGATCTTAGGTTAACTAAGGATTATAGTGCAACAGAAAATGTTGGTTGATTCCTTACCATCTTGTATACTTTGTACGTCAGTGCTAGTACACTCCACACTAGTCATTTGTCTGATGGAGGGACAGTGTAGATCTTGTACACTACCTACGTCAGTGTTAGTACGCTTCACACTGGCCATTTGTCTGATGAAGGTGACCGTGTAGATCTCGTACATTACCTACGTCAGTGCTAGTACACTCCACACTAGTCATTTGTCTGATGGAGGGACCGTGAAGATCTCGTACACTACGTACGTCAGTGCTAGTACACTCCACACTAATCATTTGTCTGATTGAGGTGACCCTGTAGATCTCGTACACTACCTACGTCAGTGTTGGTATGCTCAACACTAGTCATTTGTCTGATGGAGGTGACCGTGTAGATCTCATACACTACCTACGTCAGTGTTAGTACGCTCCACACTAGTCATTTGTCTGATGGAGGGACCGTGTAGATCTCGTACACTACCTACGTCAGTGTTAGTACGCTCCACACTAGCCATTTGTCTGATGAAGGTGACAGTGTAGATCTTGTACACTACCTACGTCAGTGTTGGTACACTCCACACTAGTCATTTGTCTGATGGAGGTGACCGTGTAGATCTCGTACACTATGTACGTCAGTGTTAGTACGCTCCACACTGGCCATTTGTCTGATATAAGGTGACTGTGTAGATCTCGTACACTACGTACATCAGTGTTAGTACGCTCCACACTGGCCATTTGTCTGATATAAGGTGACCGTGTAGATCTCGTACACTACGTACGTCAGTGTTAGTACGCTCCACAAGGGTCATTTGTCTGATGAAGGTGACCGTGTAGTCACCGAAATGTCACATTCAAATGATGTACTGGTTGTGTTATAAGAATTTTTATTCTATTGACATTACCAAATATTCTGAGATATCATAAGTTGATGATGTATTTTATTGTACTTACTTTTTTTCATTTCTTCGATCTTGGCCATGTACTTTGTCACACTTGCTCCTACAAAAAAAGCAATTCAAGGATCCAATCAGTAACAATAATGTTTATATTCCATAAAAGATCAAAATTCACTTATACAGCCAAAATATTGAGTAGTAATGTGTGTACATTATGTTTAATAATCTTTTTATACAAAGAAAGAGAGGAAATTTCATGTCCTGTTGGCCACTTGAAAATAAATATCAAGGCTTTTTTCACTGATTAGGAATTGGACATTTTATTGTTTCCTCATTTTGGGAAGGAACTTTTCAGGGGCAAACTTCAACTTTTGGAATTAGTCTTAAATATGAAATAATTTCAATTGGGAATGAAGGTAAGGGCCCATCATAAGACCGTAATGCTCTGAAAAAGACAATCCTGAAAATATTTAACACTATGATTTTAAAGATTTATTTGTCAATTTTGAATAAATTTTACTTTACATTAACAATGCTTATTATGCAATCGCAAAATACCTCTTATGTTCAATGCGTTCAATACGTGTGGGCAGTAATTTGTACTAAGAAACAAATGCAGAACACATGCAATCATGAAAACAATAGATATTGTCAAACAGATATAAAATAATGCATAAATACATATCATCAAAGTTAAAAGTATAACAAAGACAATATGCCACATACATTATGTATATGTTTATATTTCATGACTGCCAGAGTAAATATTCAGTATGTATATAGTTAGATAACAATCAGAAATGTTCTCTGTCATAAACAAATTCCCTTTCGTGTCATCATGTTAAGATGTTCTGAAACATTTATCAACAAGCACATAAAGACAGAGTGCACCTTGTTACATAGAGGTTGACACTGAAATTATAGCGACCACAGATACATCACAATCTCACAAAGAGGGCCAAATCAAGTCATATGAAATTTCTTTCAAGTTAAAAGTTGTGGAGCTTGCCAAGGAATGGGGAAACAGCAAAGCATCAAAGCAGTACGGTATAGATAGGAAGCGAATTCGCGGAATTGAAAACCTCTTTACAAAAAACCTCAAAAATGAGACGGAAAGTTCTTGGTGGAGGCAGATTTTTTAGCACTGAATGTGTTTCTTTTACATCTAAGATGGTCTCTAATAAGCGCCCCCCCCCCCCCCCCCCCTTCCCTCACCTGCCCTTAATTGTAATTTTTAAGCGCCCTGGGCACTTATTGGATCGAATACGGTATTAAAATGACAAACTTAAGTACTATATCTCTTGAAAATTTTGTGATAAAACATATTTCTCAGGTCACTTCCTACTATCCAACACACCTGTAGGTTTCAGTATTTTTAGGTTATGTTTTTGGTACAATCTGCCAAGTCAACTGCAGCAACTGATCACAACATACTGCACCAAGATGATGAGAAAACATAACCATTTTAGTGTAACCTTTCTCTTCATTAGTTTAACCCTGATTAACAAGATTTGCGTGAAAAATGTAAATTTCTGTAAAAATGATCAGTGATGGTATCTGTTCGTGATTTTTTCTGAAAGCTCATACTTGTATCAATTATGTTCATTTGTTTCAGCTTTTTAACTCTATTCATCAATACTTACCACAAAAATCAATATTACTGATTCAATGACCAGTTCAAAAATCCATTTCATGTTTGAAAATAGGAGGGGTGTCATCCTGTGAATTGCAGATACTGTTTCATCATGTAAGCGGAAAACATGAAATTATGAAAAATTGTGTCCTTTATAATTTGAGTGAAGTTTCACCTCATTTTGATATAGATAGATATTGACTCTGGTATTAATGATAACATATAACGGAAGGGAGATAACTAACATTCAATTTAAAACAAATTAGCCTGATAAATGGGGTTTGATATTCAGCTGAAAACCAAATAGTTTTTCATTTTTTATATTTTTTAAAAATTTCAAATCAGGGGAAATAACACCTAAAACACCAATAGATTCAGATATTAATGAGTCAAGTCAATAGAAATCCTAGGTATTATCAATCAACCTTTCCACAGCCAGGTAATCTTATTCCCTGTATATAACACCCTTCCAATATCCCATTTTGGAGTTTACATTTCACGTTGGCATTTTGGAGTGTGTTTGCTAATCACAAGATGAAGCCTTGGGATAAGGGTGGTGACTTTTGTGAACAAAGTAAATTTAATGATATTTGTAATTCTGAGAATATCTTATATTCAACACAAATGCATAAATAGTTGAAAATTTGTTTTTGGCATTCCATTAATCCTCTTGATACCAAATTAGGTAAAAACCGCATAAAATCTAAGTTTAAACCAATAAGAGACTACAAATTGTTTCAACATAGTTGTTATGACAATAAAACCGAAACATTGATGTTTGGCATCCCCAACTTAATCCTAAACTAGATCATGACAAAAATAACAAAAATGTTGATAGCCGTAAAGCTAGAGATAAATTGTTAGAGAAATCACGGATCATTTTGCATTGATATTTTTTGAGAACAACAGGAAGATGTAAGAAGTATACATTGAGCAAAAGTAGTCCATTGAGACTAGCACATTTTGCTTTTTTTCTCATATCTAAAAATTTACTTTGCAGTACTTACAAATCAAATATAGGATTTAGTTATCAATCAGGCCATTAAACTCCAATAATATCATTCAAAATTCATGAAGTTATAGCTGGTAAAGATGTATGGAATATAACAATAGTCTTCTACAAACTCTAGCCCTATACCAATTCTGATATCATGAATGTGTTCATCTCTTGATGTCTAGCAATGCTACATGTATAACATGGTTATGAGGTCTCGACTGCTTCAAAGATACAACCCCTTTCCCAAAATGAGCTGTTCCCATTATAACCTATGGGACCCATAATTTATGCAAAATTGATTTCCCTTCACCTAAACATCCTTCAAACCAATGTTAAACTAATATTTATACAATTTGGTTTCCCTTTCCCAAGGATGCTTCTGACCAAATATGGTCATAATCTGTTTAATTGTTAATGACTAGTAGCAATTTTTAGTATGATGATGATCAAGGGATAACATATGACAGACGAATGCCACACCAAGACATAAGCTCACCATTTCTTTGGATCAGGTAAGCTAAAAATTACAATGCAGCATTCTTTTTGTTTTCTTTTAGTGACATATTTATGTTAGATTCTCTGTAGAACTTGTAAGGTTAGGCCAAGTTTGTACATTTTGACTGAAAATCAGGCATACTTTTGTAATATCAAGTGGTGTAAATGAGTTATCATTATATTACAATACTGTTGGACAGATGCACTGACAGGTGGAAACATATGTATTGATCCGCATGATACCTAGGAGCTGAACACAAGTAACAGAGTGGTACAAAGCCTTAACTACAATGCTATTTCACAAAAATACCAGCAAGAAAATCAATCATATTTTCAAAAAAACTTATTGCGAGGTTAATGCTTTTTATTTGTTCATTTTAATGTATTTATGTGAAAGTCTTAATAGAAATTGAAAAAAAAAACAATAATTATCCTATAAAAGCTGAATAATAAATGGAAAAAATAAGGGTTTTAAAGACAATTTTGCCAGTAAAAGAGACCAGATTTTACAACAAAACTGACAATTATTTCCTTATTACCGGAACATATAAATGTTTTGGAGAGTTACAAATTATATCATGCATTTCAATGATATCCATATGATATAAATATATCTAATATATGTTAGAAGGAAATTAATGAAACAAAATGATCAATTCCTTCAAATTCTGATCAGTAATTCATAAGAATGTATCTGTATGTGACCATGGTAGTACAAGTAATACAGTGACAAATGTGTACTATGTATTGATTGTGCTGTAAGTATATCTACCATTAAAATAAAACTCATTTAATCAAGTTTTATCCCACAAAATCTAAAGGGATGGACAAACGTTAATTATTTCAACGAACTTTTTCAAAATTTTCTTGCTTCAGTTTTTCAAGTTATTTTGATAAAGAATTGTACATGGATGTTTTTTCTATCAATGTACTGGTTGGTTAATATGAGTGGATATGTATATAAAGATTGAGTGGTAGGCATACTTTGGACTTAGTAGTGATGTCAATGCCAGCTGAATCACAGAATAAAAAATTTGATCTATTTATAAAGAGGAATGGATTTACATTATTCATACATATACTGGTAGTTCAGCACAGGTTGGATTTTAAATAATGGAAGTTAGTGAAAATATTAACAGAAGTGTAAGGCATTTGGCCTTGACCTACTTATCCTTGAAGAACTTATGTTTGGCCAGGTCACAAATCCTAACAATTCATTATAGAAAACATGAATATGGTAAACCTAGAGAGTGGAGATCGCTGACCTCCAAACATTAATCATGTCAAACTTGATGATGATGCTAAATATATCTAGAGGTTCATAAAATATGTTCTTTTTTGTAACTTTTTAATTTGTTCTTAATTACCAACCTACTTATTGTTATGGTCTTCTTTTAATTTTTCAACATCTCCACTCATTTCCTCATGACTTTCTTAACCATTTTTAGTTCAAAGTCATCATCATCATCAAAGCAGTAGAATCCATATCATGATATACCGGTTAACGGTTGTTTAACCCTTCTGATTATCAGCAGATAAGAAAATAGGAAATCAATCTTGAAGATCCAAATCGTTTCTACATTCTAAGCACAGGTGATTTATTGCCTGTGTAAGATTTTGTCTGGAAATTTTACAAGAGGCCTACAATATATTATTACCAATATATACTAGAATGTGGTTTCCAGTAATTAATAAAGAGCATGTTTAATCACTGTTTGCAGCTCATCCCCACAAGAATTCTTAATGAGTGCATAACCCAGAGGTTTTGCCAGCTATTTTGGGAAAGGGGTCCTGTGCAAAATTGGGGAAATATTATCAGCTTTTTCCACAAATTGGGAAAATACCATTGACATGTTACTTTTTTGGAAAGTTTTACAAAGTTGAAAAATCATAAATAATAATTAGAAAAAAAAAAAAAAAATCATGATATATTGTTTACTTGTTTTTATTAATTTCAACAATTAACATTTATTTATTATCATTTATTAATAATCATTTTTAGGATAACTTTTCAATAAATTTTTCATTTTTTGTCTTTCATGTTCTTTAGGCAGTGTTTTTGTGACCAATATTTTATACATACAGCCTACTGTAGCTTTTTTTGGAAAATGGGAAAATATGGCTATAAGCAGAAAAGGGATTCATTTTCCTATATTTTATTAGTTCTCTATGTTAGGACTCGCTAACAAGGAAATCCAACAATAAGAAAAACAAACAAACAAACATTAAAAATCTGTATGAAAATAAGAAAAGAAAACATCAACATGAAAACACTTCCTAGCATAATATACTGACACGCAAAAGAAACGCAACCTATATGAAATGTCAACATTTTTAAAATATGAATAAACTGTTGCTAGCCTTTTTGACTAAAATGATACCTCACACATTTCCGATCGATTCACGGTTGACTGAACTCAGTCACACTACCTGTTGTCGTACACACAAGACACGACCATTTACCCTGATTTGCATGTGCACGTGTACATGTGGCAGCACTTCGTGAGTATCAGACCTGTTTGTTATCCTTCAGGTATTTGGTAAGAATTATCCACTATTGATTAACATTTTTGTTGCGCAAAGAAGATGCCTCGGCTAACCAATGATGAACGTAACAGAGCAGTGCAGTTACTATAGGATGGAAACACCCCAAATCCTGTGGCAAGGGTACTGAATGTCCATAAAAGCACTATCAGACTACTATACGCCCGCCTTAGAACTACTGGTACAACTGCTGACTTCCCTAGAACTGGCCGACCTAAGGTTACGACACCACGCCAGGACCGTTTCATGAGGTTGCAGCATCTGTGCAACCGCTTCCAAACTGAACAGAAACCCACAAACGAGACTGGGGGACACATCATCTGAGAATAAGCCGTGATACCGTGCTGAGGCATTTGCGATCATACGGTATAAAACCTCAACGCATTGCAGTGGGAATGCCACTTAACCGTTGACAATGTGACGTCAGACTTCAGTGGTTGCGATAACATCATCCAAATGTGTTTCCTATGCAAAGATGGCGCCGTGTACTCTTCTTTGACGTCCCCAGATTTACGTTTTATCGCTCTGATGGACGTTGACGTGTTTTCAGACATTGTGGTGAACGATACACTGACAACTGCATGTTGGAACGTGACAGATTTGGTGGTGGTAGCGTAATGATATGGGGCGGTATTTGTGGTGGTTGCAAAACCCCTTTAGTAGTCATTGAAGGCAATTTGACCGCTCAGCGGTACATAGACACTGTCCTGCAACCTGTCACTGTCCCTTTTGTTCGCCAGCATAACTTAATTTTTCAACAAGACAATGCCAGATGTCACGTAGTGCGACTTGCAATGGATTTTCTACGCCAAAACTATGTGCAAACACTACCTTGGCCCCCTTACAGTCCCGATCTGTCACCAATAGAGCAGGTCTGGGACTTGCTAGATCGGCGCATTCGAACGCGTCCAAATCCACCAGAGACTATACTCGCTTTGCATCAAGCACGTCTAGAAGAGTGGCAGAACATCCCTGTTTCACAAATAAACTGCTTAGTAAATTCTATGCATCGCAGGATTCGAGCTGCAACAAATGCAAACGGTGGGCATACTCGTTATTGAATTTTGAAAATTTCAGTGGCTACCCCATCTTGAGCCTTGACGTTTTTTACAGAATGGGTGAGGGCAAAATGAGAAATCGACAGTGTTATTCCAAAGAATACATTTAAATCTTGTATCAAGTGTTACATTTAAACGACAAAATTCAGTGAAGTAAGAAAATTCTTGCATAAAATCACATGTTGCGTTTCTTTTGTGTGTCAGAATATTTACCATTAGAAACTTGAATTGCAAAATCAATTATTTTGAATGCTTGTTAACAATTTATATCAATTTTATAATTATTTCTTGTAAATTCAGGAATCCCGGGTCCGGCCATCAGTTCTGATAAAGAGTAAGATATTTTGCATTTCCTAAATGATAAATCACAATCTATATACTGATAAAATATGTCCTTAAGTCTTGAATAGAATATAAATCAAGGATTAACAGTATGTGATCTTTTTATCGTTTTCCATGCTTAGCATGGAAATTTATGCATTTTCATTTGTCTGAATGTCTGAAAAATCTATCTTAATAATTGTGTTTTGGCTTGAGCATAGAATACACTTCTTCTATTCTGCAGGAACATAAAAATAAAGTTGCTTTTTTTTTAATATGTTGCAGTTTTTTTTCATTCTCTGATGCATAGAATACATGTTGTTAATGTTAACATGATAATGACTGGAAACTCAACTCTAATTAAGCAGTCATGGATATTTATACTCCAACAATGTTAGAGGTTTTACACAACAAGAAACTTATGATAGCCACCTTGTAGCAATAATGTCAGATAATAAAACGGCCAACCCGCGGCCTCTTATGTTACAGGAGTAGGATGTGTAGTGTTACCAGCCGTAGGCATAATTTCTGAATTATGCATTATGATATTGTTACTTTAATAGCTGTTCACAAAGCATCTGTCTGGGAGGAATTTTGTACTAAATCTCCCACAGGGAACTGGTGATAACTATAGTTTTAGGTGTCCATCTATCCATTCTTCTGCTATCTTGTCCCAGCTCTATCTCCTGCACTACATGTCACTGGAACTTATTACTTGGGCTATAGGTTCACTTTTGTGAGAAAGTGTGTCTCAACTTCGTCTCGTGTTAAAACAAAATTCATGATCTTATCTCCAGCATATCCATAAAAAGCATATCATCCCCTAATTTTATTCTGGCTCTTAACTAAAGACAAGTTTTATCAACAGGTAATGCGGATTTGGAAAGTGTTAGCCCGTTCTGACCATTTATCAGCGATTATTTGTCTAATCGACAGTGACAGTACAATATGTAGTTTGAACCCCTCGGATTAGTACAGCCACTGCGCGTTGTGTTTACAGTTTAGTTTCGGAATGATTGAAGAATCTATCTAACTTACCTGTGTCAACCGACGGTCCGATATGGCTGTATTTCGGGTTGGCCGGAGTTTTCTTCGACAACGGCTGTAAAGAAAAAATAAATCTCAGCATATCGGAAATTTCATTACAGGACACATATAAGAAGTGTATGAGACTTTGTCAACTTACATCATGCTTCTTAGCTCTGGAGGTACTGACGGCAGACATCTTGTTTGCTTCCGTAACTAGCCGGAATTACCGTAAGCGCATACTCAAAACATTCCACAATTCAAATTGTTTCCGGTAAAGGGATTTGTGGGATATATTTACATTTTGCACGTGGTTTTGACACATATGAACAAGTGATCACATTTGTTATGTGAGATATAGTTATCAGACGACTGAAATAACAAGAATAATAACATGAAATAGGCACTGCCTAAAAGCGAGCGCAAGTTTGTAAATAAGATGCGCATTTTGAACTGTCTGATCCATGTCTGCACTGAAGCGTGTTTTTAATAATAATAATAAAGTCTTCTTCTTCTTCTGCTTCTTCTTCTAGAAAACAATGCATCATTATGATTAGGCCGATAGTTTAAACATTTATTGCCAAATGATCGACAAAGTTTTGAATTAGGCAAAAGTTATTGCAACTTATTAACGCCTCCTCCCAATATACATTTTAAATGACATTACAATCACGACAATACAAATATACAATTATTGTTACACATTGGCATCAAAATCGCTTGCTGGATTAAATAAAGTTTTGCACATGATATAAAAATGTTTGTATTAAGGTCCACGGAAAATTGAGAATTGCCAAACAATTTCTAATTTATTCCATCGGTAAAGAGTAGAAGGTGGAAAAGACGAATTAGTCTGAAAGGAGGAATCCTTTAGTTATTATTGATAGTAACTTGTAACGATTATTTTCGCCAGATAAAGGCGGCAAAAATGATTGAGGTATTCAGGAGTTATTTTTTTTTATACATTAGTTAAATGGTTTTGTTATTGGCACAGTTGTAGGCGCGGGGATAATGTCATGTTTGCGTTATCATGTCGTCTATAGTTTTATTCTTCTTTGTCTGTTTTCATGTTGTTTGATTGTATATGCATGACTTCTGAACATATGGAAACTTTATAATTTCAACATATAAAGTAATCATGGGAGGGGCCTAACTGTGGGAGGATACTCCGGTCCCGTATCAAACCCCGGAGGCTAGGTGAAAGATAAGTGTGTTTCAACTGCGCTACCACACCACCGGCCTGATTGCGATGATACATTGTTTTCTAGATGAAGAAGATGTGTTGATGATGATACCTCAGGATATTATACCGAACACAGGTCTAGGAGACCTCTCTATTCGGCTCCTTCTTTCTAATTGTTCAAGGTGGAGCAGCTCTATAGTCATAAATAAATTAGAAGGATAAAATTGTCAGCATCCAGATAAGTGAAAGTTTTTCTGATGAGGCCCATAACACTGTTAGCTTTGTTGATTTTCCCCTGTATGTGATGTTCAAAGGATAAGTTAGAATCCGGATGGTAATTCCCAAGTCGGTTTCTCTATCAACTTGGCGTAGATAATGATTCTCATTACCAGAGCTCAGGAAGTACGCGGGTGTATCATATGCATCTTTCCCAGTTGTTAACACAACACATTTATCTGGATGGAATCGCAATAACCATTTTTCAAACCAGTCCTGAAGTTCTGTTAAGTCATGTTGTAGCTGGGTTCTATCCTGGCCACAAGAAATCTTCTTGAATTTTTTTGTGTCGTCAGCAAATAAGTACGGTATAGAGTTTGACGTCACATCTGGCAAATCATTTATGTACACCACAAATAATATAGGTCCTAAAACGCTGCTTGGGGTACAACACTGACAACTTCACCCCAATTAGAGTTGTTACCGTTGATACATACACGTTGTTGTCTACCGCTAAGGAAGGATGAAATCCACCCTAAAACATTACTTTCCACCCCGTAGCTACGTAGTTTGCCTAACAATCGTTGATGAGGAACTGTGTCAAAGGCCTTCATGAAGTCCATATATATACAATCCGGATAATTCCTCCGTCATCCAGAACCTTCGACCAGGTCTCAATTACATGTAGAAGTAGCAGGGAGGTTGAGCGACCTTAGATGAAGCCAAACTGCCGGGTACTGAAGAGACTATTCTCTATGAAATGGGCTGTTAGATGCATACGTTTAAGGCTTCAAGAGTCTTACACACAAGGCTTGTCAAACTAATAGGCCTATAATTACTTGATAATTTTCTTTTACCCTTTTTAAAAATAGGTGTGATGTTAGCCACTTTCCAATCATGTGGTACAACACGAGTCCGTATTGAAGTGTTGAATATAGTTACAAGTGGGGACGCTATAGTATGAGCTAGTTCCTTTAGAATTTATGGATGAAGTCCGTCCGGACCCGCAGATTTATTCACGTCCAGTTGTAGTTACTTCTCCAATACTTGTTTCTCCGTAATCAGTATATCTGTAAGTGGAGTATGTACTGGTTTACTGTGTAGGGTTGGTATCTCTCCATCCGGCTAGTGTGTAAATATACTACCAAAGTAGTCCAATAATACCTCCGCTTTCTGTGGCATTACTGTCCACTGAAGGTTTGACCAACTGGGCCACACTACAGTGAGTTTTCGTTTTGGACTTGGCATATTTCCAGATGATGATGATGCATCGGTGCATGTGTATGTGCCGATGTTTTGTTAAAATCTAGCGAAATATAAAACGAATTTTGAAAGCACACTTCAGTACACACATGCATCAGGCAGTAAAAAATATGCTTCTTGTTGAACAACTTTCATATTAAATGCTTATCCGTGTTGTTCCCTTCGTAACTTGTTTTAGGGGAGATAATCGCTATAACAGACAGACAAATCCTATCATGAAAATAACGTAAACCTAGCAAGAATGTTGCGAATTTTTGCGGTATCTATCTTAAATGGAATTTCTTTAAGGGTGTTTGAAGTGATGGGCGATTTCGAGTATGTTTTGGATAATTTTGGATAAGTTTTGGGAAGTTTTGATTAGTTTTGAGTTTTTGTCGTACCACATTTGATACCGTGCCGCAGTTTATTAAGCAACGTTGCAAACCGGAAGTAGAAATATCCAATATGGATGACAAGTTACTACAGCAGCTTCAGTCGGACGGTAAATATAGAATTTCCATATATATTGCAAGAATTGATGATATGATTTCGACCTTAGATGAAAGATCATATGAAAAATACACAATCTGAAAGATTGTAGCTTTATTATTACTGTTGCACATTACAATTACCTGCCTTAGACAGATAGAATATTGTACCGGTTAGTAAAATTCCATTTCTAAATCAAGCAAATACGACGAAGGCGTTGATTTTGATATGGATTGCTTGATTTTTATGCCGTCTGCATTACTCATTGATCAAATATTTGGTATATATATATATATGAACCTGAGACGGTTTGTTCAGGTATGTATATGTATGCTGACGACTCGTAAATCTTCATAATAATCACGAAACCGGAGGATGGGGATTCGCTAAAGAAGTTGGGTATGGGCTTTTCAGATGTAATTTATTTATAAAACAGCATCACATACCAATAATCCACAAATTTATCATCTGTTCATACTCTTTCTCATGGAGAACAGAATTCATCTTCAAATTAGATGTGTAGGTTCCCCATGGTCCCCTATTGTGCCTTTTTGAACATTTGCCTGTTTGATTTTGGGAATAATAAAAAACTAATATGATTGTCAGGTGGCCATCTTTGATTTTGACAATGAAAATTTATTAGTTACATAACATTTAGTCAACTACACAACTTATATTTTTTAAATTTGTTGGCAGTTGTGATACAAACATTATACATATCCCAACTATGAAATCTTATAATCTTAACTATGATAATTACAAAGATCAGATACTTGAATCTCCAATAAGGGAGCTCGAATGCAACCAAGTTTTTCAATGCAGTAGATATACTTAGGTATATCACACTCTCCAACAGATTGTAATCATTGCATTCATAATCATTTATGTATAAATGTCCTGTTGCTTTGTTTAATAGTGTTAATGATGTACAAAGAGGTTTTATGTATCAGACTTTATATAAGTGATCAGTACATTATACACTTGATGTTGATTAATGTTATATCAATAGGAATCATACAGATACTAGTACCTTGTTTTATTTTTTCATGTAATATATTAATTTTCCTGTTATGTAATAAACTATGGATTTTTGTATTGTTTCCATTTTGTTTGCATAATGATGTGAAGGAATATATTTTAAATCAAATAAGCAATTACATATATCATAATACTTATTAGATTTGGTGTAATCCTACCAGTTTAAATTATGTATCTCTATTTTGGTTGAAACTGGTTTTTAATCCTGAACAGTATATGGTTAGTGTGACATGTATATGGACTGTATGGCTTGTATCATTTGGGATTATGAATCCAATATCTTTGAATATTTATTCCTGATAACTTTCCACATATGGATATATCAACAATACACTGTCCAGTATTTTGTATTATTCACTTGACACAACATTTCCCATTTTATTAGATATATCAAGTTAAATTTCCTTACTGAAATGACAATTTTTATGAATATTGATCAAATCAATGTATGTTATATATAGATCTGTATTTCTTACCAGCTGTTCTCATCATAAGGAGAGGACTTTGATAGGCTTAGTCTGATGTGCATTCCTATTGATTGATGTTTTTGTCTATAAAGTTGGTTGGCATTAGAATTGGAAGACTGTTATGATTTTTTCTTGAGAATTACTGGATACTTATTTCTCAAATCTGTATGAAGGTTTCCATTTGTCCCTAGGTATGCCCTTTTAAATCTTTGGACTGATTAGGAAAACAAAATTTCTGACAAGGGGCCATTTTAGGTTATAAAAGTTTGTTATATTCATTTCTTGAGAAGTACTGAATGGATCTTTCGCAATCATCATAACAAGGTTCCTCGAGGCCTCTATTTTGCCTTATTTATTTTTGGACCGATTAGAAAAACAAACTAAGTTAGCGATTAAGTCTCTTTTTAATCATTGAGAAATTTATTCATTTATTCCAGACTTCAACAGCCTCATGAGATTATGTATTTTGTTAAACTCACTACTTTTGTATTCTTTCGATCAAAATATAGTAGATCTCATTTGTAAACCTTTTTTTTCAGACATTTTTAGTCAGTTCCTAGATGCATCATTTGATGTTAAGGGATATGCCAACAGAGCAATTCAAGGACAAGCCATTGCAGAACAGTTGTCCAAGCTAGCTGAAGGAATTGCACTGCTTGATAGAGAAATTCACTCACAGGTACATTACAGATTTTATATTGATGGATATACCTTGAATGAAAACATATTCTTCACATAGCAATGCATATAAAAAGTTAGATGATCAGATGTTAACTATAGGAAGTGATGGGATATTGGGAAGGTCTGATAATTAATGGACAAACAGAGGATATTCTGTTTTCTTTATAAATAATGTAGTGATGTGTCGGTAAATCCCAAAAAAGTCCAAATCTGTTATTTTGAAATGCAAAGTGCTCAATGATGAATTGAATACCATGTTCAAAATCAGAAAATATGAAAACAATGTGTTTCGACCCTCAGAAGCGTGGCCCAAAAGTGGAAATTTCTTTAAAATCCTATTTCTCCTGTAGGAATGATATGTAGAGTTTTTGGATGTAACAAGACACCAAAGGCTGTTCACTCGGGAATATAGTTCCTTCTCAAGTACTTGTTATTGTCAAATTAATGAAAAGTTACTTTCTGTTTAGATATTGTAATGCCATGGATATGTGTTACTTCAGTTTTAGGCCCTCCAATAAGTTTTCTTCACAAAAATAATTAGCAGTAAAATATATCAAATATTCAATGACTAGTAATATTAGGTTCTGTCATTTCAAGCAACATTTTGAATGGTTGGCCTTCATATTCATCTAATGTCATGGACGTAACATTGGACATGCATCATGGTCACTCCAGTATATAGGTCATATTTTGCATCTTGGTAGTGCAGACATGCATGAAACAGCTGGAAACCGATCTGTGATACGCTCTTGTAACATGATGTCGTAAAACATATATACCAGCCTACTCGTAATAAGAGATAAAATGTTCTCTTTACCTTTATAACAGCATACACATTGCAAAGTATTTTCTTTAACTTCATAACAGCATACACATTGCAAAGTATTCTTTTTACACATTGCAAAGTATTATATTTAACTTCATAAAAGCATACACATTGCAAAGTATTCTATTTAAATTCATAACAGCATACACATAGTAAAGTATTCTCTTTAGCTTCATAACAACATACACATTGCAAAGTATTCTATTTAACTTCATAACAGCATACACATTGCCAGGTATTCTCTTCAACTTCATAACAGCATACACATGGCAAAGTATTCTATCTAAATTCATAACAGCATACACATGGCAAAGTATTCTCTTTAACTTCATAAAAGCATACACATTGCAAAGTGTTATATTTAACTTCATAAAAGCATACACATTGCAAAGTATTCTATTTAAATTCATAACAGCATACACATAGTAAAGTATTCTCTTTAGCTTCATAACAGCATACACATTGAAAAGTATTATCTTTAACTTCATAACAGCAAACACATTGCAAAGTATTCTATATAACTTCATAACAGCATACACATTGCCAGGTATTCTCTTCAACTTCATAACAGCATACACATGGTAAAGTATTCTATCTAAATTCATAAGCATACACATGGCAAAGTATTCTCTGTTTAGATGTAAATTATTCTTAGAAATTGATGAAAGTTACTCTCTTTATCATTGAATGTAGTTGTAAGAAATAGATCACAGCAATGTTTAATGTACGTTTATTTAAGGGAGATAACTGTAACAGAAACTAGTACTTACGTCTTGTGCCATGTTTCAGTCTACTTAGTAATTATATATATATTCAAATTTACAAATGCTATTCTCATTTAAAAGCTTTATTTCTATTTACATATTTATTTGTTACATTTCAGATTGTAGCTCACCATGATGACTTGCTTTCACAGGCATCAGGAGTGGAAACATTGGAGGGTATGTAAACACATATAGATATATCTCACCCTGTACTGTTCCACAATCTTTATTCAGTATACATTCCTCCAACCCCCATAGAGGATTAAAACCTATAAACAAAAGTAAAATATTGATTAAAACATGAAGTTCTGCTAATGTTATTTTCGGGCTAATGAAGTGACAACATAAAGCACAGAGGAAAAGACTGGAGAGTGAAGTTGTCAATTGGTTTTTCAATGAAAACTAATAAAATAAATTGAAAACAATATGAAATGTATTGTCTGTCTATCATTATTTTTACCTGTGTAAAGGTGGAATTGTGTTTCATATGTGGACCTTAAGAGGATTACCACAAATTCCATATTTTTCAGGCTATAAGCCGCACCCGAGTATCAGCGGCAGGGGGTGGTTTTCAGTGATTTTTTCAATTTGATCCACTATTAAGGGGCACCGAGATATACACACTTTCTTACCATGTGGTAACTGTGATGTTGACCAAAGTTCATTAGTATAATAAAACAACAGAAAGCAAATATGATCATCAGTGAAACATTTAATATAACTTTGCAAATGAATTATATACAGATAATCCTTTATCTTATTGATGTGTTTCAAAATTGTAAAAAAAGCAATTATTGATCTTGCTTTTGAGCTTCCAAAGAATGTCTACGCATAGATATAGAGTCTGACGTTATGTACAGTTTACTTAGCGATATCTCCATCAGTGTCTGTACTGTTAGATATTAGCGAAGGCCTTTGCAGGCTGACAAAATTCTTATAATCCTATGATATTTTTACCCTACAGCCCGAAAGGGTGTTGGGTATTGCGATCACGCACGGCGTCCGTCGAGCCGTCCATCCGTCCACAATTGCTTACTGCTTATTATCTCAAAAACTACGTCATTGGTCATCACCATTTTCACTGGGGATGTTGGGCCTATGGACCTACACAACCCTTTTGTTTTTCATCGCCGCCCAATATCCAATATGGCGGTTATGTGCGCCATCTTGAATTTACATTCCGCTCATTATCTCAAGAACGACAACACCGGTGGTCACCATTTTCACTGAGGATGTTGGGCCTATTGACCTATACAACTCTGTTGTTCTTTATCGCCGCCCAATATCCATTATGTCATTTACATCTTGAATTTGCATTCTGCTCTTTATCTCAAGAATGTCAGATGAGAACAAGAACTGAAACTTCTGTAGGTCCATAGGCCCAACATCTCCAATGAAAATGGAGATTCGCAGTGATGTCGTGACATAGTGAGCGGAATGCAAATGCCAACAAAAATCTACAGGCTTATTTACGTCCATAGAGCCAAAATGCTCAGTGAAAATGGTGATCTCCTATGATCTCATTCTTGAGATAACTTTCCACTCACCCCAACCACACATTTCCAACTTTATAATAAGGCTGTGGGATATTGCCGGCGTTTGCGGAGCTATTTTTTTTTGTAAGTTACACAAAGCCAATCTTATCGTTAACGAGCATGATGGTCATTCTAGAATTTGACCCAATGACCTATCAGTCCCAGGATACAACAGGCTATTGTAAACTTCTGCTATGACTTCCAAAGCAATCACAATAGTTTAGAAGATATAATTGTGATTCATATTAAAAAGTATGATAAAAGAAATCCACAAGAATGCTATTTTTATTTAAATCTCAAAATCATCCTATATAAAGTTTCAAAAGATGGTTCGAGACGATCTGTTTCAGTCTCAAACACCTGATGGACAGGTGCTCATAAAAACTTGGTACAAATGTCTGGTACTGGTTTGTTGGTATCCTTGGATTAAGTAACTTTTTTTATTATTTCATTATGCTGATTTTTTTCATCCTCATATGATTCAGTCAGGAGTATGATTGGGGAAAGTACCAACCAATTTTGTATAAATAATGTGCCTTAGATCCATGGAGCTGGAGGAATGGGACACTAAAGGGATGCATCACAAATGTTTGCTGTACTTGAATCTTATCATCTGCATCCTAGCATAACTGGTTTATCACATCTGATGGTAGATATTTGTTTGCTATGATGAGTAGCTGTATACTCCTGTTCCCTGACAGATAGTTTTCATTGTACACATGACTTCTGTTACAGGAGTACTGCAGATGATGCAAACCCGTATACAGTCCCTGCTAGCTGCCATGGACAGGTATAGTAATTAATGGTTATGTATACAGTGTCTGCTGGCTGTAATGGACAGGTATAGTAATTAATGGTTATGTATACAGTGTCTGCCGGTTGTAATGGACAGGTATAGTAATTAATGGTTATGTATACAGTGTCTGCTGGTTGTAATGGACAGGTATAGTAATTAATGGTTATGTATACCGTTCCTTGCTGGCTGTAATGGACAGGTATAGTAATTAATGGTTATGTATACAGTCCCTGCTAGCTGCCATGGACAGGTATAGTAATTAATGGTTATGTATACAGTCCCTGCTGGCTATTATGGACAGGTATAGTAATTAATGGTTATGTATACAGTGTCTGTTGGCTGTAATGGACAGGTATAGTAATTAATGGTTATGTATACAGTCCCTGCTAGCTGCCATGGACAGGTATAGTAATTAGTGGTTATGTATACAGTGTCTGCTGGCTGTAATGGACAGGTATAGTAATTAATGGTTATGTATACAGTGTCTGCTGGCTGTAATGGACAGGTATAGTAATTAATGGTTATGTATACAGTGTCTGCTGGCTGTAATGGACAGGTATAGTAATTAATGGTTATGTATACAGTGTCTGCTGGCTGTAATGGATTATGTATACTGTCCCTGCTGGCAGTTATGGACAGGTATAGTAATTGATGGTTATGTATACAGTCCCTGCTGGCAGTTATGGACAGGTATAGTAATTGATGGTTATGTATACAGTCCCTGCTGGCTGTAATGGACAGGTATAGTAATTAATGGTTATGTATACAGTCCCTGCTAGCTGTAATGGACAGGTATAGTAATTAATGGTTATGTATACAGTCCCTGCTGGCTGTAATGGACAGGTATAGTAATTATTGGTTATGTATACAGTCCCTGCTGGCTGTAATGGACAGGTATAGTAATTAATGGTTATGTATACAGTCCCTGCTGGCTGTAATGGACAGGTATAGTAATTAATGGTTATGTATACAGTGTCTGCTGGCTGTAATGGACAGGTATAGTAATTAATGGTTATGTATACAGTCCCTGCTGGCTGTAATGGATTATGTATACTGTCCCTGCTGGCAGTTATGGACAGGTATAGTAATTGATGGTTATGTATACAGTCCCTGCTGGCAGTTATGGACAGGTATAGTAATTGATGGTTATGTATACAGTCCCTGCTGGCTGTAATGGACAGGTATAGTAATTAATGGTTATGTATACAGTGTCTGCTGGCTGTAATGGACAGGTATAGTAATTAATGGTTATGTATACAGTCCCTGCTGGCTGTAATGGATTATGTATACTGTCCCTGCTGGCAGTTATGGACAGGTATAGTAATTGATGGTTATGTATACAGTCCCTGCTGGCAGTTATGGACAGGTATAGTAATTGATGGTTATGTATACAGTCCCTGCTGGCTGTAATGGACAGGTATAGTAATTAATGGTTATGTATACAGTCCCTGCTAGCTGTAATGGACAGGCATAGTAATTAATTGTTATGTATACAGTCCCTGCTAGCTGTAATGGACAGGTATAGTAATTAATGGTTATGTATACAGTCCCTGCTGGCTGTTAAGGACAGGTATAGTAATTATTGGTTATGTATACAGTCCCTGCTGGCTGTAATGGACAGGTATAGTAATTAATGGTTATGTATACAGTCCCTGCTGGCTGTTATGGAGAGGTATAGTAATTAATGGTTATGTATACAGTGATTTCAACCTAATTTCATTGGTATAAGTATCACTTAGGGAGGGCAATGATTGCTTAAATAGATTTAACTCTCAGATGGCTTAAATAGATCATTTAACTTCTCAAATGACCATTTATGCCTACAGCCTTCTTGTTTTTTCTTTTTTTACCAAGGGTCAGAACAAAGGTGTCCGAACCATTCAACAAGATAGCAGCCAGAACAGCACAACTGAGAAATTTACAAGTAAGAATTGTCAACAGCAGTCATCTGACATCAGGGGTTTGATGTGAAGAAGTAGGGGATCAGTTTCCTGATGACAGGGGTATTCTCTGGGTTCCTCCCACAGTTAAACCTCACATGCTTACCTTGAGAGTGATTTGTACGATTTGAAATAAATGAAGTTTATTTTTTTATATCATATATATAAAATCAAACAATATGAAAGCAAAACTGAACAACCATTTGCAAACACACACACAAAAAAGAAAAGAAAAACAAAATAAAAACTAAAGGAGATACAGGTAAGTATATAAAACACAGTGGACTACAAGGGTTTTGTCAGAGGGAGGGGGAGACAAAGACTAAAGAATAGGTCGGAGAAATAAAAGGAATAATAGGGACCTGTAATAATGTTTCTTGTTGGGGGATAGGACTTAGATAGTATACTATTACAGAGGCCTGTAATGATGTTTCTGGGAAATATGGGGGCTTGTATGGTATACTTTCATAGGGGCTTGTGACAATGTTTCTGGCAAATGAGGTCTTCTTTGTTATATTATCACGGGGCCTGCAGCAATGTTTCTGTATCTATAGTCCTTACATCCATTAACATTTCCTTTAAATTGCCCCTAGTCATGAATGACTTGAGTGAGCTAAAAAAAAGGGACATTTGGCAAATCCTACTCCTTCTGTAGGATTGATTGAATTTCTCCTCAAATATGGTTTGAAACATTCCAAAGTGAAAGAAAATCACTTTTGTATAAAGGTGTCTCAACCTTTGATGTAGGAGGGAAATGAGCAAATTCTTATGTATCATTTATTTTCTTATATTTTGTCCTCATTTTACTGAGTCATAGTTTTGATTATGTCACTGTCAGAATTTTTATCTTTTTAGGTAAAAGAAGGTTAAAAGGAAAAAAAAATTGTTAAAATCAATATCAGGTAATTGAAAACCCTGGTCAACATCTTTTTTATATGCTGCCGGAGACGGTCATAAATTGGTGTCATCTTCTCCGTCTGTCCAATCCGTATGTCCTGCCATACATTCGTCCGTACATCCCATTTCTTGTGAACACAACTCCTCCTAAACTAGTCATCAGATTTTCATGAAACTTGCTCAATGTCGCTACTTCAATAGGTAGATGTGCATGAAGGGGTGATTTTTTGGATCGTTGATTTTTGTAAGATTAATGCCATTTTCAACTTTGTATCTGTAGCTTGCTCTAAGTGGAGCTTTGTGAACGCAACTTCTCCAAAACTAATTATCCAATTTTCATAAAACTTGCTCAATGTCACTAATACCATGGTTCGATATGCATGAAGGGGCGATTTTACGGTTCATTGATTTTTGTAAGATTTATGATACAGACATGTTAAAAGCGATAATTAAAAAGAACCAATCTTGATCTTTATATTTTGTGACGGCATATATTGTGTCCACCGCACTCTTGTTATCATTTGAAAACATCTATGTAAAATGGAAACCACTTGATACTTTTGATTTAGTAAAACCTTTTCCATTTTTTAGGAAACCTGTGACTTATTAAGAAGGATCATCCGCATTATGTACCTCAGCAAGAGGCTTCACAGTCAGCTGCAGGGTGGGGCAAGGGAGATAACCAAGGCAGCACAGAGTCTCAATGAATTGGGTAGGTCCAAAGGATAAAATTGAAAATAATCTTAATGAACATTATTCTTTGAAAACCTTTCATTATCAAGAAAAATGAACTTTGGTCAGGATGACTTACAGCTACTACGTTTAAGCTGTCATTGGGCACCTTCAGACTTGTGATGTCAGTAGTGATATATTTACAAACTTCATCAGTTCAACCAATGGGATTCAGTTGGAACTTGCCAGGAATAATTCTTAGATGGTCTTGACCAACTCTTCTTATTTGTTGGGTCAGGCAAAAATCAAAGATGGCTGCCATCTTCAATACATTTTAAAACTTTTTAAGTTCCTGTGATGCCATTGAGCTGAAAATTGAAGGGAATGTGAAGGAAAAGAAGCTGATAAAGCGTTCTTATTTTTTTTTACCTTTTCAAAAGATTAAGGTGGCAGCCAGTACTGTGGCCATTTTGTAATGGCTTTATACAATCATGGTTTTTCTTGAATGACTATTTTTAAGTCTTCTCAAGTTCCATCATTGTGATACAGCGACATTTTACCATGAATGATCCTAAGAGATATGCTCCGTAACATTCAAAAGATATTTCATACCCTCGAGATTGAAGATTGTGAATCATTTTGTTTTTAGTCTGTCTGTTTTAGGATTTCCATGCTGAGATTTTTTAGTCATATTTGAACCAAATTTTATAAATTGTTTCATATTGTTAAGATCTGAGATGAGTTTGATATTGGTCAAAATCTATCAGTATATGCCAGAGTTATATGACTTCAGAATCCTTAGAAAAGATCATTTCCATCAAACAATTTTACTGTCAAATTTAAAATCAATTTTGGTGTATTGCTTGATATAAGTCAGATCTCAAATGAGTTCAGTATTGGTAAAAATTGGTAAGTATCTCATACCCTTCTAGTAAAGCCTTTTTTATTTAGTAAGTGTATGACTGATGACCTTTCACTGGATACTGCACTTCTTCATCTACACATTTGATATGTTACAAAAACGCCTTTCAGTTGGAATATCCCAGCTTTCTGGAATTTATCCTCATAGGCATTACAGCTGTATTTCAAAAAGTTGTGGATATTATAACTATATTTCTTGTCTTAATCTGCATTTCATGCTTCTCATAAATGTGAAGAAATAAACTTCACTGTAAGGGATTAGTAAAGTTTCACTGTAAGGTAAGTCATGTTGTAAGATGTGAGGCTTAATATCTATATTTTATCTTATAGATTACATATGTGAAGGAGTGGATTTTGCTGGTATAGAAATAATAGAACAAGACAGAAGATTCATTAGAGGGGCAAGGAAGGATGTGGAAACACAAGCTCAGAAAATGTTAGACCAGGGCTTGGAAACACAAGTTTGTATAGAATTATCAATAATTTTTTGTACTATTTCATGTTTAGCATTATATATTGATGTTGATGTTTTACACAGGTTCAGTTTTAAATCCTTGGATTACCAGTAAGGTCATTACTGAGATATTTAGCTGTCTGTTAATGTAGGTGATATGGACTTAAAATATGTGTAAATCTATAAATATCTGCTAAAGAACCATACAATGATAATGAAGTTATTTGACTTGTTTTCACAGTTTGAGTCGAATTAGTCAAATCGTCAAACAACTTCTTCAGGAGTAAAGAAAAACAGGATAAATATATCTGAGGTGCATCTTGTTAGAAGAAATCAAATAACTACTATGTACATTCACAATGGTAGTGGGATGTTCTTTTGATAATAGAGTGAAAATAAAAGGGAAGAGAGAAAATAACACTGATCAGTATACATAGCATCCTCCATATAACTATTCCAAATGAAGCATCATGATTTTGAGATATGTTGCTCTCTACAGAACCCGACACAAGTGGCAACTGCACTACAAGTGTTCCACAACTTGCGATGCCTGCATCAAACGGTAGACAAGGTGGTGACTGGCTGCAAGGAGGGGCTACATAAGAACATCCGCAGCTGTCTAGATATGCAGGCCCTCAGTCAGCAGCAATCTTCTGTTATAGGCTCCAAAGGTAATCACAAGGTTATTGTCTCAGTAAGAGTAGGTCAGTGACTCCAAAGGTAATCACAAGGTTATTGTGTCAGTAAGAGTAGGTCAGTGACTCCAAAGGTAATCACAAGGTTATTGTCTCAGTAAGGGTAGATCAGTGACTCCAAAGGTAATCACAAGGTTATGGTCTCAGTAAGGGTAGATCAGTGACTCCAAAGGTAATCACAAGGTTATGGTCTCAGTAAGGGTAGATCAGTGACTCCAAAGGTAATCACAAGGTTATTGCCTCAGTAAGGGTAGATCAGAAACTCTAAAGGTATTCACAAGGTTAATGTGTCAGTAAGGGTAGATTAGTGAATCCAAAGGTAATCACAAGGTTATTGTTTCAGTAAGGGTAGATCAGTGACTCAAAATTGACTCTAAATCAAAGGGTTGTTTTCACGGTATAATTGCAGTCTAATGGTATTCACAAGGTTATTGTCTCAGTTAGGGTGGATCAGTGACTCCAAAGGTATTCACAAGGTTGATGTGTCAGTAAGGGTAGATTAGTGAATTCAAAGGTAATCACAAGGTTATTGTCTCAGTAAAGGTAGATCAGTGACTACAAAGGTAATCACAAGGTTATTGTCTCAGTTAGGGTAGATCAGTGACTCCAAAGGTATTCACAAGGTTAATGTGTCAGTAAGGGTAGATTAGTGAATCCAAAGGTATTCACAAGGTTATTGTCTCAGTAAGGGTAGATCAGTGACTCAAAATTGACTCTAAATCAAAGGGTTGTTGTCACGGTATAATTGCAATCTAAAGGTATTCACAAGGTTATTGTCTCAGTTAGGGTAGATCAGTGACTCCAAAGGTAATCACAAGGTTATTGTGTCAGTAAGGGTAGGTCAGTGACTCCAAAGGTAATCACAAGGTTATTGTCTCAATAAGGGTAGATTAGTGACTCCAAAGGTAATCACAAGGTTATTGTCTCAATAAGGGTAGATCAGTGACTCCAAAGGTAATCACAAGGTTATTGTCTCAGTTAGGGTAGATCAGTGACTCCAAAGGTAATCACAAGGTTATTGTGTCCGTAAAGGTAGATTAGTGACTCCAAAGGTAATCACAAGGTTATTGTGTCAGTAAGGGTAGGTCAGTGACTCCAAAGGTAATCATAATGTTATTGTGTCAGTAAGGGTAGGTCAGTGACTCCAAAGGTAATCACAAGGTTATTGTGTCCGTAAAGGTAGATCAGTGACTCCAAAGGTAATCACAAGGTTATTGTCTCAATAAGGGTAGATTAGTGACTCCAAAGGTAATCACAAGGTTATTGTCTCAATAAGGGTAGATTAGTGACTCCAAAGGTAATCACAAGGTTATTGTCTAAGTTAGGGTAGATCAGTGACTCCAAATTGACTCTAAATCACAGGGTTGTTGTCACGGTATAAGGGCAGTCTAAAGGTAATAACAAGGTTATTGTCTCAGTTAGGGTAGATCAATGACTCCAAAGGTAATCACAAGGTTATTGTCTCAATAAGGGTAGATTAGTGACTCCAAAGGTAATCACAAGGTTATTGTCTAAGTTAGGGTAGATCAGTGACTCCAAATTGACTCTAAATCACAGGGTTGTTGTCACGGTATAAGGGCAGTCTAAAGGTAATAACAAGGTTATTGTCTCAGTTAGGGTAGATCAGTGACTCCAAAGGTAATCACAAGGTTATTGTCTCAATAAGGGTAGATTAGTGACTCCAAAGGTAATCACAAGGTTATTGTCTAAGTTAGGGTAGATCAGTGACTCCAAATTGACTCTAAATCACAGGGTTGTTGTCACGGTATAAGGGCAGTCTAAAGGTAATAACAAGGTTATTGTCTCAGTTAGGGTAGATCAGTGACTCCAAAGGTAATCACAAGGTTATTGTCTCAATAAGGGTAGATTAGTGACTCCAAAGGTAATCACAAGGTTATTGTCTAAGTTAGGGTAGATCAGTGACTCCAAATTGACTCTAAATCACAGGGTTGTTGTCACGGTATAAGGGCAGTCTAAAGGTAATAACAAGGTTATTGTCTCAGTTAGGGTAGATCAGTGACTCCAAAGGTAATCACAAGGTTATTGTCTCAGTTAGGGTAGATCAGTGACTCCAAAGGTAATCACAAGGTTATTGTCTCAGTTAGGGTAGATCAGTGACTCCAAAGGTAATAACAAGGTTATTGTCTCAGTTAGGGTAGATCAGTGACTCCAAAGGTAATCATAATGTTATTGTGTCAGTAAGAGTAGATCAGTGACTCCAAAGGTAATCACAAGGTTATTGTCTCAGTTAGGGTAGATCAGTGACTCCAAAGGTAATCACAAGGTTATTGTGTCCGTAAAGGTAGATCAGTGACTCCAAAGGTAATCATAATGTTATTGTGTCAGTAAGAGTAGGTCAGTGACTCCAAAGGTAATCACAAGGTTATTGTCTCAATAAGGGTAGATTAGTGACTCCAAAGGTAATCACAAGGTTATTGTCTCAATAAGGGTAGATTAGTGACTCCAAAGGTAATCACAAGGTTATTGTCTAAGTTAGGGTAGATCAGTGACTCCAAATTGACTCTAAATCAAGGGCAGTCTAAAGGTAATAACAAGGTTATTGTCTCAGTAAGGGTAGATCAGTGACTCCAAAGGTAATAACAAGGTTATTGTCTCAGTAAGGTTAGATCAGTGACTCCAAAGGTATTCACTAGGTTAGTATCTCAGTAAGGGTAGATCAGCTACTCATAATTGACTCTTAATCACGAGTTGTTGTCATGGTATAAGGGCAGTCTGAAGATAACCACAGGGCTAGTATCTCAGCAATGTTAGACCTGAGGTTTTTGGGTTATCACAGGGCTGTTTTACCTCACCTGGTCTAAAGGACTTAGGAAAGTGAAAGAGGTTTTGCATAACTGGTGGATCTCAGCCACATGGGGCCTGAAAAGAAGGACCCAAAAGGCAAAAGTTTAAAGAGCCAGACCCACCCCGTTATAGATATTTTTTCATATTTTATTGACTGGAAATGTTGTTGTATACTAATAGATAATATATAAATAAAGACTTGTATAAAGTTTCGAACTTGAAACTGAAAGGGTACCGGAGATATCGGTGCTGGAATTAGTCTCATTAATCAACACCAGGATATGAATATTGATGAGGAAAGTCACGTGATACATTCAGACGTGGTCAGAACCAAAACAAAAATGGAGGAAGAGGTGAGCAGTACGTCCATGTGTCATCGCTTGTAAAGAAATTTGATCAATACTCTATATATCATGTATAGAAATCATCTAATGTATGTATTGATCACATCTTTCAATGCTTAGATATGACACAAAAACATGCAGATTACGAGAAAAACTATGATTAATTGCAAAGAAGCCCTCAAATGGGGCTAAGATACGGTAACGAACATAAAGAACTTCACAATATGGATCTATCTAAATCGATTATTCGATGATAAGAGTATTTATGAATGTGATTTTAGAGTGATACTACACGAGAGAGCCAAACAGAGAGCAATACAGAGTATGAACCAGCCATCTTTCTTCTTTTCGCCTCAGAGTCCGTCAAAACACGTTTTCGTCCTCGCATCCCTTGCATGCTTTCTGTCATGTTGGAAGACGGCTGATTTATTTACAGTTCTTTGCGCATGCGTCAGAGGGCAGGACTTCCGCACAATTATGAATTTGCACTGAGTCGTTTCAAATTCTTTTTTAAAACTATTTATCATGTTAGCTTGGTAGTGATTTACCTTAAAATTGCGGTATTACAGGGTTAGTCAGAAGTTTTGCTACCCGAGAAAAATAGAAAATCATGAATTTTTTTTTATATGAAATAATTTTGGTCGAGGAGTGTGTCTGGCTCTTTAAAATCCTACTTCTCTAGTAGATTTGATTCTGAAGCATTGTTGTGTGAATGGGAATTAATTTTGAATAAATAGAGAAGATGTTTTGAATTTCTACTTCTCCTGTAGATCAACTCATTGTCTAAAAATTGACATGGCATAGAAATATAATTGAATATATTTGCTTTATACTTGGAATATGAATTAATTGTTTGGTGTGAAGAAATGTGTGTGATATAATTGTATTGTGGGCTGCAGGCCTTGAAGTATCAAAATAAAAGATTTGAATTTAACAAGTTACATAACAATCAAATTGTCAATCTGAATTGGTAAGATGGCTTCAATTAAGTGCCTTTTGCTCTGAATTGGTAAAAATCTTACATGAAACATTTACCATCAACATATTTGAATTATTCATATTTCTTACTTGTTATAGGAGGGCCTGGCAAGGCCTCTATGCCTGTTACTGGGAACACGGCTGCCTTCCGGGCACTGCTGTGGACAAATATGGAGAAGATGATGGACAATATCTATGCTTCATGTGTTCAGGTATATATCAGTCTGTTAAAACTAATGCTAGCCTTGAAAATTCTCACTGTTATCTGGATATAGTCATATTTTACTATGTAAACTAGGAAATTGGCCATTTGGCCATTTCCTGTCATAATATTCATTGTCATAGTGTTTTATTTCAGAAAAGCTGTAATGATAGGACAGGTATATATTTGGCTGTAAATTTGATATCTTGGGTAAACTTTCCAGGTTCAACACCTGCAGAAAGTATTGGTGAAGAAGAGAGACCCTGTCACTCATGTGTGCTTCATAGAAGAATTGGCAAAGGTATTATTCTGCACTTTCTGGTTTTTTATATTCTAATTGTATTCTTGACTTATCAAACTACTTATGATATTAGAAATTGTGTTTGCAATGTTGCTACAATGTATTAACTATATTCTGTATGTATATTTATGATCAATGAAGATAGCACCAAATTAAATAGCCAACAAACATATTTACATTGAATCTCAATATATATTATCTGTTATGCATGTATACTTGGATTCCAAATGAGAGTCATGCCTAAAATTTAATCCCTGTGAATTTGCCAAAACTTGAACAACTGTTAAATAATAGACCTGCAAAAGAAACTTATCGCACATGAACTTGATTTAGTGCAATGAAATTTTAGTGCTTGATCACTTTTTGACAAATTGGTTGAAAGATTAATTCAAGCATAAGCATTAACCCTAACCCTATAGAAACGGTACACTGTAGAAAATAGATTATTAATATCTAACTCTAGCCTTGTGTGTAAACAAATATCAAATACACCAAAATTTGTTATCATGACAATTGTAACTATTGTCCTCTGAAAGTTGGTGGAGATAATCTAGCAGTCCCGTCCATTCATTCATTCATTCATTCATCAGTGTCAGGACTTTTTCAAAACCTGTATGAGGCAATCTCATTGGCTCCATCACATTTTTCTGTTAGATTTATAGCCAATGAAAATGAAATTAGCAAACACTTTATGGAAATGGCATGTCATCAATATGACAGTTAGTCAACTTCAAAGTGTGTTCAAGTAATTTGATATCACTGATTTTAAACAATTTCAAAGGAGTAACATTGATTCCCTTTTGTCACACAAAAATGTATACATCTGACTTAAATCAGCTTATGGAAAGAGCATTTGTTTTCAGCTATTTCAGCCTCTGTGGACTCAGAAACATGATCGTAATAATTGTTCCATTTGGGTCGTGTTTGGTTGCCTCACGTGTCAATGATGAGAAAATAGTACTAGTATTTAAACTCATGTGATTTCACTTCAACCTTTAAAGAAAACAATATTTGATCTGAGGAGAGGCAGTTTTAATTCACATTTGTAACACAATGACTAAACACGGTGTTTACTTGGGTTGACCGAAATGTTTATTTCATTGTATAGTGGTTTTCCATAGTTTGTACTTCGCGTTAATATCCATTACAAAAAATAGTTCCTAACCAACATACAGCAGCATGTCGTGGCACCAAAAATAACCACCTGTGTAAGGCAGACAAGAACTAAACACCTGCCCGTCCATATCAAAGATTTCCATACAAATGTCCATGGGCCAACTTGGCCAGGGCCCGCTCCATCACGGAGCAGGTCCCATACGGGACTCTGCCCGTCTCCACGTCCGACTCCCAACTCTCTCTAGCTACTCAATCCCAGACTCGACTAGACTTCTGCTGGCTATTGTCTTTGTATAAATGATACCCAAATACTTAATTTAAGCCTAGTCCCAATTGGATAACAATAACCCAGCCCCCAGAGCATCTAATTATGAAGGCACGTGCGACTAGAGTACCCGTTATCAACTTCCCATCTTTGATCTACCTTATACATCATTTCTTATCTTGTTTACTTACAAATATTTTCGCCAGCGCGAGGCATACAAAAGAGAGCATCTATCTGTCCTGATCAATCATACTGGCGATATTGTGCCACAGTGCTTCACCACTTGGGTACACACCCCGCCCGTTATCAGGCGTGCATCACTACCTATCACTCACGGGGTTTTTTCCTCGGTCCAGCATTGACTGACTTTTGACCTGATGTACTTTAAACTAAGATGCTGCTCTCTACGATACACACCATTCCAAAGTTACCAGTAAACCCCTTTTTTACTCATTTTGTTACACATTACCAGAATTGGTTTTGTCCTGTAAGATATTGCAAGATATGTTGCTACTGTAAATTTGAAAATATTTGTTGTAGTTTAATTTTTGATGGTAGTCTTTATGCACAAAATTTAAAACAAAAAGTTTACAATATAGAAAAAAACAATAACATTTCACAACTTCAAAGTAATGTGTATGGCCTTGAACTGTTCCAATAAAGATTTATCACGATTGTTTTCACATGCAATAAATTTTAGACTTGTCCAGGAAGTAGGCTATCAGTCTTTATCAAAACTAAAATCAAGGTAAAACTAAGGCTGATTTAAAGTCAGCATTATTTCCTGATAATCCAAAGTGTATTGTTTGTTTTAAAATGTATTCATAATGATTGAAAGATACATAATCCACAAAATTCCTTTTTATTGATGTGTTCATATTACTTCTCTGGTGTCTAGTACCATGAAGGAAACCTTAACATCATGCAGGACTTCTGGGACAGTGTTACAAGGATGTTGACAACAGAGTTTACCGAGGCATCGGAAGGTAACATGACACAAAGCAAATTGTCCTGAATAATTAATTAGCCAAAATTTTAAATAGAATCTTTTGTATCAGTCATAATTTAGATAGAATCTCGTGTGTCCTCAGTCATAATTTAGATAGAATCTCGTGTGTCCTCAGTCATAATTTAGATAGAATCTCGTGTGTCCTCAGTCATAATTTAGATAGAATCTCGTGTGTCCTCAGTCATAATTTAGATAGAATCTCGTGTGTCCTCAGTCATAATTTAGATAGAATCTCGTGTGTCCTCAGTCATAATTTAGATAGAATCTCGTGTGTCCTCAGTCATAATTTAGATAGAATTTTGTGTGTCCTCAGTTATTATTTAGTCCTGACCTAAACCTGACAACATCAAGAACATACATGGCAGTGATATACATACCTGAAAAGTACATTTGTAAATGTAGAACTGTCTTAAAGTCCTGTGATTTTTTTAATGTAGGTAATAATTATGATTTATTAGATAAAAATGATTGTGCGTTAAAATTGAAATTTCATGTATTTAGTCTTCATATATTGTGTGATTGCCTGTCATCTGACAACCCTGTTGTATGACCACTCGGTACTCTGTTCTATATGTATTGGGGTACTACTGTAAATGCAACTGAAAACAGTTATATTTTTACACATTAAAAGGAATATTGAGTTGAAGAGGGAAAATAAAATCCAGTGGTTCTGTCTAACTTTTTGATCCATTAACATATTTTTTCTCTCTGATTTGTCAACTTAATGTTAAATTTTTTGCAATAGATAAATCAGTATTTGAATTATAGAAATATATTTTACTTTACCATTCCAATTTTTGTTGAGATAAACCTTGAGCATGAGACTATTATAATTTCATGTTAAAGTATATGGTCATGCTTGGTTTTCAGGATCCATGTTCCTCAAACAGGCATTTGAGGGAGAGTACCCCAAACTGCTGCGGCTGTACAATGACCTGTGGCGCCGCCTACAACAGTTTTGTCTTAACACTTCTTCACACATGGCTGACCATCTGACCAATGAAGAGGGTGGAGAAGAAGACCTCTTTTTACAGGTCAACAGAAGAGACAAATACGAGTGAGTAACATATTTCAATGCAATTTTTTCTTTCAGTTTCAAAGATGTAAAGTTATTTCCTGATCAATACCATTTCATAGTTATGATTTTGAAATCTGGATACAATTGTCAAGTGGAATGTGATACCACAAACTGATTTACCTGGTATACAAATAGTGGCATTATAATGAGGGTTGTTACTTGTTATATAATTGGTGGCATTATAATGAAGGTTGTTACCTAGTATACCAATAGTGGCATTATAATGAAGGTTGTTACCTGGTATACAAATAGTGGCATTATAATGAGGGTTGTTACCTTGTATATAAATATTGGCATTGCATTGAGGGTAGAATGTCCTGTTTTCATTGCCATTACTCACTTAATTTAAGAGGTTACTTTTATTTATTTTATTTATTTATATTTATGCAAATTTATTATCTGATATGTTCATTACCTGATAGTTACTACAGAATCTATATATATTGGTTTTAACATTAACATGTATAGATGAAACCTGACAAAATTTATGAGAAGAAATAATCTTGACGGACATTCAAGGTTAGAAGGGTCTAATTTGTTCAAATTTAAACAATTTCTGCTGATTAGCCAAAAGTCCTAGAAGCAAACAGTTGGCTGGTAGGTCTCAGGGATGAAAGCCTGACAAAGTTTACAAAACAAAATGACTTTCAGTTACAATCAAGGTCACAGGGTTCAATTTGTTTTTAAAAAAATGTTAAAAACTAAAAGACTTCTTCTGATAAGCCAAAAATCCAAGAATTAGAATATCTGTTGGAAAGTGTTTCTCGGTCAAATCTTGACAAATTCCATGAAAAAAAAAGAAAAGAAAACAGAAGTGAAATGTACCTTTAATCAAGGTCATAAATGTCACTGTTTAGAGCTGAGCCTTGGAAGTTAAAGTTTATTGTGAAAATTTGTTAAAATTGATCATATGTGCCCACTTTGAATGACAATGGCGTATGTGTTAATGTATTTGTGATGAACATTGAATGTCAGATGAGGGATGAAGGCCAACTGGGCCTCTTACTATACTCTACATATTGTATTTACAGTCCTGAGACAACACTGAGACTCACTCTGGCAAAGTTTGAGATGGCCTACCTCTCAAAGTCTCTGTCACGACTGTTTGATCCTATCAATCTCATCTTCAGCAACAGCAGTTCCATGAATCCTCCTACAGCCTCAGAGGTGGAGAGTGTTGTGAAAACAATCATAAGGTAGGTGTTGAAGGAAGCTGTTCAATTAACATGAATCTGTTGATGTGTAAAAATGTTTTTCAGATGCTAAATAGAGGAACTTACATAAAGTTCCATCTATATGAGATTTATGAAATTAATCTGAAAACTTTCTATCTTTATTTTAAGGTCACCTGACGTTAAGTGTCGGGATGACCTACAGCTATTTAATTTTGTTGTTGTTGACCCCCATCTTCTGTGAATATACCTTTTTTATATCCATCCAAACTTTTGATAGGATGGATTATGGTATAGTGTTGTCCTTTTATCATTTGTAACCATTTATTTATCTGAAGATCTCCTCTCACAGTTTCCAAGTAATTTTTTTTTTCAAACTTGATGGGCTTAATTATCACGACAAGAAATGCAATTTAATTCATCTGTATTTTTTCAAGAGTTACAGCCCCTTATTGTTTTTATTTTGTAAATCTTTTCCACAGACCTCTTCTCTCAGTTTTCAGTTAGTTCATATTAGTTATGGAAAGGGGATCCCCTGTAGACAGGTATGGGAGGGGGATCCCCCTGCAGACAAGTTATGGGAGAGGGACTGCCTTGTAGACACATTTTGTGAAGGGGATTCCCCCTGTAGACATGTTATGGAAGGGGGATGCCCCATGCAGACAAATTATGGGAGGGGGATCCCCCATGCAGACAAATTATTGGAGGGGGATCCCCCTGCAGACAAATTATGGGAGGGGGATCCCCCATGCAGACAAGTTATGGGAGAGGGATCCCCCTGCAGACAAATTATGGGGGGGGGGGTCCCCATGCAGACAAATTATGGGAGGGGGATCCCCCTGTAGACAAGTTATAGGAGAGGGAGCCCCCTGTAGACAATTTATGGGAAGGGGATCTCTTCTACAGACAGGTTATTGGAGTGTGACCCAGCAGACCGCTATTATTATGTTATGACTGTGACCCACCAGACCACTATTATTATGTTATGTGACCCACCAGACCACTATTATTATGTTATGTGACCCACCAGACCACCATTATTATGTGATGTGACCCACCAGACCACCATTATTATGTTATGTGACCCACCAGACCACCATTATTATGTGATGTGACCCACCAGACCACCATTATTATGTTATGACTGTGACCAACCAGACCACTATTATTATGTTATGTGACCCACCAGACCACTATTATTATGTGATGTGACCGACCAGACCACTATTATTATGTGATGTGACCCACCAGACCACTATTATTATGTGATGTGACCCACCAGACCACTATTATTATGTTATGTGACCCACCAGACCACTATTATTATGTGATGTGACCCACCAGACCACTATTATTATGTTATGTGACCCACCAGACCACCATTATTATGTGATGTGACCCACCAGACCACTATTATTATGTGATGTGACCCACCAGACCACCATTATTATGTTATGTGACCCACCAGACCACCATTATTATGTTATGTGACCCCCCTGACCACCATTATTATGTTATGTGACCCACCAGACCACTATTATTATGTTATGTGACCCACCTGACCACTATTATTATGTGATGTGACCCACCAGACCACTATTATTATGTTATGTGACCCACCAGACCACTATTATTATGTTATGTGACCCACCTGACCACTATTATTATGTGATGTGACCCACCAGACCACTATTATTATGTTATGTGACCCACCAGACCAGCATTATTATGTTATGTGACCCACCAGACCACTATTATTATGTTATGTTATGTCCCCCCCCCCCCCCCCCCCCAACCACTATTATTATGTTATGTGACCCACCAGACCACCATTATTATTATGTTATGACTGTGACTCAGATTTTTAGTGATAAGTGGTGTGCATGTCAATGTGATGATCATTCTCCCTTCTGTATTTTGTTTTGACCATTTTTTCAAGAGAAAAAATAGTGAGAAAACGAATTCTATCATCCTGAATGTCTTTCATCTGTAGTGTAACAATTGTGGTCAATTTAGCTCCAGAAGTAGATTACTTGGAGATGAACTACTTATCCTTGTGGACTGAACCAGTTACGCATGTGTCATGATTATTACTTCAGTGAACTCAACGTAGCGAGTGTAGACAACAAGTTGTGTGTAACGGTATCCAAGAATGTCGCCAAAACAATCGAACTCTTCTGTAACAAGAGTGAACAATTGGTAAGGAATTAATTATACTCTTCTATAACGAAGATTTCACCATGTGTCACCTTCATTAGACAAATGACCAGTGTGAATCTTACTATCACTAACATACATAGTGTAGATGGTAACAAACAGAAGATTTGACCATGTGTCACCTTCATTAGACAAATGACCAGTGTGAAGCTTACTAACATACATAGGGTAGATGGTAACAAACAGAAGATTTGACCATGTGTCACCTTCATTAGACAAATGACCAGTGTGAATCTTACTATCACTAACATACATAGTGTAGATGGTAACAAACAGAAGATTTGACCATGTATCACCTTCATTAGACAAACGACCAGTGTGAAGTTTACTAACATACATATAGTTGATGGTAACAAACAGAAGATTAGACCATGTGTCACCTTCATTAGACAAATGACCAGTGTGAAGCTTACTATCACTAACATACATAGTGTAGATGGTAACAAACAGAAGATTTGACCATGTATCACCTTCATTAGACAAATGACCAGTGTGAAGCTTACTATCACTAACATACATAGTGTAGATGGTAACAAACAGAAGATTTGACCATGTATCACCTTCATTAGACAAACGACCAGTGTGAAGCTTACTAACATACATATAGTTGATGGTAACTTACAGAAGATTAGACCATGTGTCACCTTCATTAGACAAATGGCCAGTGTGAAGCTTACTAACATACATAGGGTAGATGATAACCTACAGAAGATTAGACGATGTGTCACCTTCATTAGACAAATGACCAGTGTGAAGCTTACTATCACTAACATACATAGTGTAGATGGTAACAAACAGAAGATTTGACCATGTATCACCTTCAATAGACAAATGACCAGTGTGAAGCTTACTAACATACATAGGGTAGATGGTAACCTACAGAAGATTAGACCATGTGTCACCTTAATTAGACAAATGACCAGTGTGAAGCTTACTATCACTAACATACATAGTGTATGTGGTAAGAAATCAACCTAGTGTGACCAGATGGTAAAAAGATGCCTAGTGTTACCAGTTTCATGCCATGCTGATATCACACTTCATATTTCAACCATAAAGTTCATTTATCAGCATGTTTTAATACCATTTACTAAATAAAGATATCTGATTTTTTTTTCAAAATGTTAATTTACCGTTATTTCTCACATTTTCAATTAAATTTTGTTTCATTGTTTTATTTTTACTTGTAGCTTGCTACTGATGGGGAGGCTAGCCAGGTGATAGCTCTACCTTCTCAAGGCCAGAGTCGTAACTGTGCAACAGTGAATACATTGTACCTGCTTCACCAGTCCATCTCCAAGGTATCTCTCAGCTTCTACAACCCTACTGCAAGTGTCTGTAACATTGAAAGTGTTGCTACAATTGTATATTACAATAACTTCCATTTGGTATCCAAACATATGTGCTTCTGATATTTATCCCCTAACTACATCTGTTTCACAACTGATATGTCATATGATAAACTTTGTAGCAGTGAGTTATTGGATTTTGTTCACATACCACGGTGCATATCCACTCTTAAAGCTTCTAATTGCTGGCCTCTGACCACTAACAATACTGATTTTTTAATCCCTGAATTTTGAAATGGGACTACATTACAAGCATGTTCTTTTTGTTGTCATTTGTTAATGAAAAAACATAAACATGACCTCTGATCATCAGCTTATAGTGACCCATAAGACCCATACAACATTGAAACAAATACAAGCCTAAAAAATCTGACAAACTGTTAGTATTTATGCCTTAAATGGCAGAGAAAGCAAATAAATGTGGTGTTTACTTGTACAAAGAAAGGAAAGTTGTCTCCCTTCATCTTACTTAGTTTAGAAGTTTACACAAAATGAATGTGTGATACCTGTGCCTGAGCTGGCATAGCTATGACTAGAATATTGTTATCAATATGAAAATTAACATATCTTATCATTCAACTTTTATTGCAAAATATCATAAATACAAAATTTTAAAATTCCATTTTGAAATACTTGTCTTTTGTCAGTTTAATATGTACAGTAGAAGGATGAAATGTAAAGTTTATAGTATAAGGATGAAGAAACAAATTTACAATAGAGTGATGAAGTGTGATATTGATATTTACAGTAGTGAGATGAAGTATGATATTGATATTTACAGTAGAGAGATGAAGTGTGATATTGACATTTACAGTGATAGATGAAGTGTAATATTGATATTTACAGTAGATAGATGAAGTGTGATATTGATATTTACAGTAGAGAAACAAAGTATAAAATTATAATAGAGAGATGAAAGGTAATATTTACAATAGAGAGATGAAATGTGATATTGATATTTACAGTAGAGAAACAAAGTATAAGATTATAATAGAGAGATGAAAGGTAATATTTACAATAGAGAGATGAAATGTGATATTGATATTTACAATAGAGAAACAAAGTATAAAATTATAATAGAGAGATGAAAGGTAATATTTACAATAGAGAGATGAAGTGTGATATTGATATTTACAATAGAGAGATGAAGTGTGATATTGATATTTACAATAGAGAGATGAAGTGTGATATTGATATTTACAGTAGAGAAACAAAGTATAAAATTATAATAGAGAGATTAAAGGTAATATTTGCAATAGAGAGATGAACTGTGATATTGATATTTACAATAGAGAAACAAAGTATAAAATTATAATAGAGAGATGAAAGGTAATATTTACAGTAGAGAGATGAAGTGTGTTATTGATATTTACAGTAGAGAGATGAAGTGTGATATTGATATTTACAATAGAGTGATGAAGTGTGATATTGATATTTACAGTAGAGAAACAAAGTATAAAATTATAATAGAGAGATGAAAGGTAATATTTGCAATAGAGAGATGAACTGTGATATTGATATTTACAGTAGAGAAACAAAGTATAAAATTATAATAGAGAGATGAAAGGTAATATTTACAATAGAGAGATGAAATGTGATATTGATATTTACAGTAGAGAAACAAAGTATAAAATTATAATAGAGATATGAAAGGTAATATTTACAATGGAGAGATGAAATGTGATATTGATATTTACAGTAGAGAAACAAAGTATAAAATTATAATAGAGAGATGAAAGGTAATATTTACAATAGAGAGATGAAATGTGATATTGATATTTACAGTAGAGAAACAAAGTATAAAATTATAATAGAGAGATGAAAGGTAATATTTACAATAGAGAGATGAAATGTGATATTGATATTTACAGTAGAGAAACAAAGTATAAAATTATAATAGAGAGATGAAAGGTAATATTTACAATAGAGAGATGAAATGTGATATTGATATTTACAGTAGAGAAACAAAGTATAAAATTATAATAGAGAGATGAAAGGTAATATTTACAATAGAGAGATGAAATGTGATATTGATATTTACAGTAGAGAAACAAAGTATAAAATTATAATAGAGAGATGAAAGGTAATATTTACGATAGAGAGATGAAATGTGATATTGATATTTACAGTAGAGAAACAAAGTATAAAATTATAATAGAGAGATGAAAGGTAATATTTAAAATAGAGAGATGAAATGTGATATTGATATTTACAGTAGAGAAACAAAGTATAAAATTATAATAGAGAGATGAAAGGTAATATTTACAATAGAGAGATGAAATGTGATATTGATATTTACAGTAGAGAAACAAAGTATAAAATTATAATAGAGAGATGAAAGGTAATATTTACAATAGAGAGATGAAATGTGATATTGATATTTACAGTAGAGAAACAAAGTATAAAATTATAATAGAGAGATGAAAGGTAATATTTACAATAGAGAGATGAAATGTGATATTGATATTTACAGTAGAGAAACAAAGTATAAAATTATAATAGAGAGATGAAAGGTAATATTTGCAATAGAGAGATGAACTGTGATATTGATATTTACAGTAGAGAAACAAAGTATAAAATTATAATAGAGAGATGAAAGGTAATATGTACAGTAGAGAGACGAAGTTTAATATTATTATTATGATTAGGTTCTGTATGTATTGAATGCATGGTTTAAGTGCTAATTTATGAAGTGTTAGGTTTTGCTCCCTGATCCCTGAAGGTTGGGGCCCTTTATGGGAATTTTCACCAATTCTTAAAGTTCCTTCCTTGTAAATGGAACAATAGAACTTAGTATGAAGCATACTTTGATGAAGGAACCTCAGCTTGGTATAAACAATATATCCAATTCTTCTGATAATTGAACGGTATGGCCCTGTATGGCTGATAGATGTAATCTTTGCAATCTATCTGCTCCTGTTTGGCAATGAAAGTATTGTTGATCACATTTCATTACAAATAAGTGAGAGTGAATGGGACTCAGCTTTATGTAAATCAAGGGTTTATTCAAATTGTTCTGCATCCATGGTCCATCGTCCGTTTGTCTGTAAACAGTTTTTGTTATCACTATTTCATGAGAAGTACTGGATCGATCTTTCTCAATTTTCATATGTAGGTTCACCTTAGTCCCTAGTTATGCCTGTTTGATTTTGGGATTGATAAAAAAACAAGATGGCCGACAGGTGGCCATCTTGGATTTTGACTTTGAAAGTTTGTTATCGCTATTTCTTAACTAGTACTAAATGTATCTTTATTATATATTATGTATAGGTTCCTTCAGGTCCCTAGTTGTGCCTCTGTGAGTTTGGTACTGATCAGAAAAACAAAATAGCCAATAGGCATCCATCTTGGATTTTGCCTAGTAAAGATTATTATTTCTATTTCTTAAGAAGTACTGAATGGATGCCTCTCAAATTCCATACATATGTTCCCTTTGGTCTCTCCCTGTGCTTGTTTGGTTTTGGGACTGATCAGATGAAATGGCTCCCAGACGGCTATTTTGGATTTGGCAGGTGAAGATTATCATTGCTTTTTCTGAAAACGGAGTGTACAAATTTCATATCATTAAGAACAAAAACAGAGAAGAGAAAAGAAGGGAAAAGATCAAACAATGGTGGGTGCCAAGATCCCTCATGGATTTCTTGTAGAGGGTAGGGGCAGAATATAAGACAAAACAAAAAAGTCTAAAATCGATAATCTTTTCCTGCTTTGATGAAAGTATTTTGTCAAAATTTACTGTAAAGCTTTAGCATTCCTCAACATTTGGTGCAAATACAAAAAATAATAGTGAATAAAAACAATTTACAGTGAAAGCTGAAATATCCAAGTGAGTGATACAGGTCCAATGGGCCTCTTGTTTGGTGGAGATGGAAAGTATGTTTTTGTAAATCCTACAGCAGTTTGATATCATGTGATTTCAGATCTTAGCTGGTCTCACAACTTATCCCACTGAAGCTACAGAAAGTATCAAGAAAGCTTTGGAGGTAAGGACTGGAAGAAGAGTTTTCCACTGGGAGTGTAATATGTCCCTGGTAGTGTAATCTGTCCCTGGTAGTGTAAACTACCACTGGGAGTGTAATCTCAACCCTGGCAATGTAAACTACCAATGGCATTGTAATCTACCACGGGGAGTGTAATCTACCTCTGGGAGTGTAATCTGTCCTTAGTAGTGTAAACTAACAATGGCAGTGTAATCTACCTTTGGGAGTGTAATCTACCACTTGGAGTGTTATCTGTCCCTGGTAGTGTAATGTACCAATGGCAGTGTAATCTACCACTGGAAGTGTAATGTTCCTTTGGTAGTGTAATCTACCACTGGGAGTGTAATCTGTCCATAGTAGTGTAATCTACCTCTGGGAGTGTAATCTACCACTGGGATTGAAATCTTTCCCTGGTAGTGTAAAGTACCAATGGCAATGTAATCTACCACTGGGATTGTAATCTACCACTGGGAGTGTAATCTGTCACTGGGAGTGTAATCTGCCACTGGTAGTTCTTTCATTATGACCTTTATCTTGAGTTATGCTGCAGTGAATATATTTCACTGATATACCATTCATTTAAGAACAGTATGGTGAACCTTATTATCAGAAGTTAGGTTTGTCATGTATTATTAAATTTGGTAACCAAATGAAAAAAAGCTGTGGCTGAATCTACAATAAGCTGAATAAATAATGTATGAGTTGTATATAATGTTGACAATTTATACATTTTTTTTGACATTTACCAGTAAACAAATTTTTGCTTTGGCTTACATTTAAGAGTTGATATTGGTTTCTGTAAAAGGTTATATCAGTATAGCATAAAGTAAATGAAATACGATCAAAACAAGAGATTGGTTTGTTAGCCAACAGTTACAAAACCGGAGATACTCCTAAATAAATACTTGTATCCTAGGTGACTGTGGGCCTGATGAGTGCTGCAGTAAACCCTCTTTTGTCCTCTATCTCCGATGCTGTTGAAGCCATCATACTGACTATACACCAGGAGGACTTTTCAGGGTAAGCATACACCAATATATCCGGACATAATCTAACTAGATCCACTTTCTACCTTACTTGGTATGATGTGCCAGTGAGCCTCTGGTATGGGAAAGGATTTGTCATCTGTTTGTCCATCCAGACGTCTGCCAGTCAACTTTTATCTTCTTCAAGGAAAAAATATAAGTGATTGGGAACTGATATTTAGGTTTGGAGGTACTTAGGTTGGAGTTCAGTATACTTTCCTCATGAATAACCTTGTCTTATCTTTTAGTCACAGGAGAAATGTAAGAGTCTTTTTTAATGTTCCAGAGGACCCAGAGAATTGTAAATTTCTTCATATAAATGACCTTGACCTTACAAAGAAGGTGTTACTAAGTTGTGATAGCTTATGCCTAAATCTGATTGATTGTACAATAAAGTGTGTTTGAATCAAAATGACCTTGACCTATTGCTTTTGGAACTGATCAGAAACAACAAGTTGGCTGACACGAGACCACATTTAAAGATTATTTTCTCAAGAGGAATTTTCAAACTTAATAAAAAAAAAGCAAAAAGGAACAGAATAAAATTAGAAAAAAATCTTTTAAATGTCAAAAGCAGAACAAACAATGGTGGGTGCCAAAGACCCTTTGGGATCTATTTGTTGAATGTACAACTTCATAAATATTACTTTTTCACTTGTTATCACCCTTTACAAAGCCAGTAATTTTAAATGAAATCATAATTGAATTTACATCTATCAATTTGCCTTTTAGTTATGAAACACCATATGAAAGCGTTCCTAAGAAATATCCATGGGATAATTTTTAATTCTGGAATGACTTTATAGGATGATGGATGTGGACCATCAGAAGGAAGCTCATTGTTCTCTATACATGCGGGAGTTACAGGACTTTGTAACCAGATGTCAGACAGATTACTTATCTCCATTTGATTGTCAGGACTTCATCATGGAAAGGTACATTAATATTTAATGGTAGTTTTCAAATACTGTTCTTTTCAACTCAAAAATCTTTTTATGTTTGTATGATTCCAAATTTGTTTGACCAGTTCAAACTGCCAGCTGTTTGTCTGTCTGTCTGTCTGTCCTCAAAAATTAAGTTTAATATCTAAATGACTTCTCAATAACTGAAAGGCCTAGTACAACAATATTGGACCTTTAGCATGCTGGGATGAAGGGCTATCAAGTTTGTTTAAATGAATGACCCTGACCCTCTTTCAAGTTCAGATTTGTTCAATCAGAAAACAACTTCTGAATTATAATAACCCACTAACCCTGGGTGCCATTATTGTGTCAGTGGCATGCTCTGATGAATGGCTAACAAGCTCCTAAAAATGAATGACCTTGATCTACTTTGTGTTAAAATGTTTTAACAACTTCACACTCAATAAGTACCTAGAAGTCTAGAGGACTGATATCTGGCCTTTAGCATTATAAAAAGATATTAATTTGTTCAAATGATTGAACTTTATCAGCTTTCAATGTTACCACAGGGATGAAATGTATTATATCCAAGAGCCCAAGAATATTGATAATGGGCTTGTTGCATGCTGGGAGGAAGGGAAACCAAATCTGTTTAAATGAATAACCTTGAACCACATTTAATGACACAGGGGTCAAATGTGTTAAATCTTTAAATAGCTTCTTCTCAATAACAAAAAAATCAGAGAATATTGAATTTGGACATGAATTATGTTAGGATGGAGCACTTCCTGGTTTGTTGAAGGAAGGAAATTTACTTAACAGACAAAGACTTCAGGCCCATTGTGTTGCTTGTTAGATTGGTAAAACCTGGTTCAGGTTGAGAGAAGGAAAATATGCTTGCTTTATTTCATGTCTAAAGAAGCAGCTTTAACTTCTGGGTGTTGGACATTAAATTGGGTCTGAAATCCATAAACGACTTGGTTTTACATTTATACATAATATGTTATAAAAATTGTATCTATTGATAATGATTTTTTCATAATTTGGCAGGAAATCTTTTTAAAAGATTTTGACATCGGTGCAAAGACAATTTAAAACTAGTGTAACCCATTTCATGTACAAAATATCAAATATTCAGAAGATAATTTTCTATGAAATCATTTACATTATATGAAAAGCTAAATTTGTATCAAACTATAAAGAAGTAATATCTTTTAATTTGTCATACTGCCTTGAGTAGTAATTATTTTCTCATCAAAATGAATATTCATACTGACATATTCCAGTTGTTGATCATAGGAATGTTGAGACATTAAAACCATTTGTATATTTTACAGCATCAAACCAATAGCAAGTCGATGTGTAATGCTATTTGTAAGACATGCCTGTTTGGTGCGTCCCCTAGGGGAAGGCGGAAAGATGCGACTGGCTGCAGATTTTGCTCAGATGGAATTGGCAATCTCTCCATTCTGTAAAAGGGTTTCCGATATTGGCAAAGACTACAGACTTTTGAGGGCCTTTAGGTGATAAAGAATTTTCCTTTTATGATATAATTGTCCTGCTCCCATCAATAAGTATAATTATAAGTTGAATGTACAAAGGTTGTCAAATGTGACCTTTTACCCTGTAACCTGGACCAATAACCTCCTTCATGTGATGTAGAACTTTTTGATTCTTTGGATTATTTTAGGGAAATGACATTGATCCTGAACATAAAATGGCGAGGAAAAAATGTATTGAGGTAGCAGGCTTAATGGACAGTAACAATGTTTGAAATGACTTTATTGCTCAGTCAGATATTAACTTATTTGAATTGATATTTAGTCTGAAATAATTATCATTAAGCTGCTGTCATCTACTGAAGTAAAGGAGGGACTATATATGGTTTTGTGTTATGTCCATTTGTCCTTTCACTATCTTGTCCAGAACATTTCTTCTACACTGCTAACCATGCGAGCCAAATACTTGGAATATGGGTTCACATTGGCGAGATCGTGTATCACATATTAAAAGGAGGTCACTAGAAGCTACATTTTCACCTTTGAGCTACACCAAAAGAAAAACTTGTCTGTAGTCAATTTTCGACACTACTAATCATGGGAAGTAATAACTTGGGTTATGATTAACCTTAGTGAGACATCATGTTGCGTATCAAAAGTAAATGAATCTGACCTATCTTTTGACCTTTGATCAACATTTAATAAAACTCTGGCTCTTTCTCCTACACTACTTGTCACTGGATTTTCCAACTTGGTGTATTGGATGTTCTGGGTGAGACGTTGTGTCAATGGGGGACTATAAGATCACCAAATTATCTTGTTGATGTTGTTGTCAATTTCTCACACCAGATTAGAAGCAACCGTCATTTTTTCATTAACCTGTAATAGCTCATTTATAAAATGTTTGGTTTGTTCCAGACCTCTCCTCTTTCAGACACCTGAACACATATCTCGGAGTCCAACTCTGGGTGACATCATTCCGTACAGCACATGTCTACACTTTCTGTTTGCTAAAGGGGCTCCCCCAGAACTGCGGTCTCCACATGTTGTAAGTGATAAGGAGATTCTGTTTATGCAAACATACGGGAATCTACCAAGCTGCCCAGTGTGGTTAAATGGATAATCAACAAAAAGCAAAAATAGGGACCTAATAAATGCAAAGGCCATAGTTAGAGACAGTTAAATGTTTTCTTTGATTTTGATCATAAGGCTATGGCTATACTAAAAATCAAATCCATTGTGTATAATTCCTCTCATGATAGTCAATTACATAACAATGTTTATGTTTAAATAACCATATCAAGTGTTTGCTTGAAGTATGTATGAAATAATCACAGTACCAATGAAACTGGACTGTAATTATTTTGTTTTTAGTGTATAAGAACACAAGTTATCACTATGTCTCTTTAAAAGTCAATTTATCAGTGTAGTGATTTTTGTGCACTTAGCAACTTGTGACCTTTTGTGCAGTTCTGCAGCAAAGCATTAAGAAAGATGATAATATACATTGAAATATATGGGTGGCTTATTTACTGGATGGCTTTCTGGTAAATCCTGGTATTTTTTTTTTTTGGTCATCATACTTATGACTATTTTTAGTTCACCTGGTCAGAAGGACAGATGAGCTTATGCCATGTTGCACGTAGGGCACAGCATCAGATGATGAATGTTTTTTCGATTTTTTTTTTTTAGTTCACTTGGCCTCCAATGCTTATTGCAATCATAATAGGTCATCCTGAGACTTTCTCTGAGGTTACGTAAAAATATTCTTCTCAACACCTAGATATTATGAAATCAAATGCTCTTTATGGGTGGAATGATCTTTAAGTGCTTTACCAAAATTGTGAATTTTAAGACCCTATGGTCTTACATTTCCCCCTGGAAAAATGTAGTAATATAACTGTAAATGAAATGTTTTAAGTAAAAGTTGAAATATCGAGGTGAAGTTGGAGTTTATACAACAATTGGTTGTAAAAAGTGGTTGTTGTATAAAATATATCTTTCACTGAATTAAGTTAAAATGAGTGTATCTCGTAACTTTTGGAAAATGACCAATGAGAGATTTTTTGTGACCTGTTTGTACGAGAATAAAATAGATATTTCCAGAATGAAATTACCTGCTCTTTATTAACAGCTGTTTTGCTTACAACATCAGTTGGGGCATAGTGATATGACCTGTTGCCACTAATTAATATGATGAACTGACAATTTCAGAAATATGTGGAACATTCCTTTATTCGTTTGTTTGTCTTCAAAGCTATAAAATGATAGACATCGAGATAAAGAAACAAATCATTACAAATTCAGTCATGAACATCTTATTGTGAGTTTTAGTTTCCATGAAAACGTATGGTGTCCTTCAGGTCAAAATGTAACTTCTCAACCAAACAAAAGACACACTGGTCATATTCCACTAGTGGTACACATATCATATATCTGGCATGTTTACATAATGTTCTGAGGGTGGAATAATGCATGATATTGTGGTAGAAAAATGATAGATTTCATCCATGAACATGTAGCAGAAATTAGATCAATAAATTTTCATAAGGTCAACTAATGTTGTTTTTTTTTATTTTCAGGTGGTGGATTGGTCCATCAGTCGTTACTCACAGTGGCTAGATAGTCATCCCTCTGAGAAAGACCGACTGACACTCATCAAGTTTGTATTTCTGGTTCTGAATTTTTAGTTTACCTTCTCCCTCCTTATGACATACCACAGCATGTCTTCCGTCCCCTAAACTTTTCAAACATTTAAGCAGATTTTGACCAAAATTGGAGGAAATGAGAGTAAATTTCTTTTCTATAAACAGTTCGTCTGACTCCCCTAGGGCCTGAGGGATGGGGCCAAAAATGGGAAATGAAGCAAATTCAATATGATCATTCTTCTTCTAGGAATACCAAGGTTCTGTCCCAATTTGGTCTGAAGCATTCATGAGTGAAAGGAAATCAATTTTGTATAGATGATGGGTTTTAGCCCCCTTGCACTGGAAGGGTGGTTGTCCATTAGGGAAAATAAAGCAAATTCTTTTATATCCTGTTTTCATAGAAATTCCTGGATTATTTCAACTTTGGTCTGAAGCATCAGTTGGTGAAGGGGAATCAATTTTGTCATCAGTGGGTTTTGAGCCCCAGGTGTGGGTGGGGCAGTTATTAAAATTGATTAATTGTTTCGTCCTTAATATACAGAGGATTATAGTACAGTTGAAAAAGTTGGTCAATTTATTACCATCTTTTACCCTCCATAGGTCAGTATAATGTACTTCACACTACTAATTTACCCTATAAAAGAGACAGTGTAGTCATTAAAACTAAACACTAAAATTTTCTACTGGTTGTGTTGGTAGATTTTCTATTCTGTTAACATTACCAACCTGCAGAAAAAATATTTTAAACCATTTACATGAATGTTTTATTTTCTTACATAAAATCCAATTAGTTTCAATTTCTGTTTTACAAAAAATGTCTTATTAAATGCCAATAGGTTTTATCAGATCCTATTAAGTCTTGACAAACTTGTACAAAGTTCTTAATATTTTCCATTGATTGCATTTACTATCTGTTTACAGGGGAAGCTTAGAGGGATATGTCCAACATGTAAAGTCTCGACACGGAAAGGAGTTCACACCAATCTACCCAATAATGTTAGAACTGTTACAGAAAGGACTTCAGATTGCTACGTAGCAATGACAGAACACAATTAACTGTTATAGAGTGCTGTTCTGTGTATGACTGAATAGGAAGAATATTTTCTGTTTAACCTCCTGTGGAGCTCAAGAGGATAATTGTATATTCTTTATCGAAACAAGTTTTTTAGATAATCTAACTCCATTATCCATCATCCATTATACCATGCCATTCACCACTCCATTTGAAAGTCTTCTCAGTCAACTTAGGCCTAGGGTACTAATATTAGTTCTGTAGCATACTGAAATGGAGGACTACAAGGCCATTAAGACCCATGGGCCTCTTGATATCTCACCATTAGTTGGAAAGGTTTTCATTTGAATGACTTTTTTCATTGACCAAAAAATCGAGAGTAATGATATTGTCCAGTGGGATGCTGAGACAAAGGTCTAGTAAAATTGTTCAAATGTTTGACCTTGACCCTCTTTTAAGGTCACAGGGGTCAAAAGTGGGAGTTAACTTATTTTCTTTTAAGTTGGGTTTTGGTATTTGGGAATTAGTATTTTTAAGACATTGACTTAACTTACCAACAAGGTCTTCTGTGTTAACTTCAGGACAGGTGACTTATTCAGGCCCATTGGGCCACTTGTTTCATTTTTCAAGTATCTTCATGTTTGTGAAGTGGGTTTAAAAGTGAAATGATAATAAGCACACTTTCATAATTTCTGAAAAAAAGATTACCTTGACCTGTAAAGGTCACAAGGGTCAAACTTGTGACCTTCCAACAACTTCTTTTTGATTATCAAAAGATTCCTGGGATGAGACCTGTCAAAGTGTTTTTCAACAAATTACTAGACCCATATATAAGATTACAGGTGATTTTTATCAATAATCAGAAGATCTAGAGGAAGGCTCCTTGGATAAAGCCTGAGAAAGATTGTAAAAAAAATTGTTGAAACGAAATGGTTGAGAATTATGGTATTTTGCCTGGGATAAAGCATGACAATATATATGTTAGAAATATCCTTGACTCATATTCAAGGTCACAGTGATGAAATTTGTTAAAACCATGAAATGAGGTCTTTTGAATACCATAAGGCCTAGTAACATGTTATTTGATTAGAAGTTTCCTTGAATGAAGCTCATCAAGAGTCACAAGGGTCAAATTTGTTGGAACCTTCAAGTGATTTCTTCTTCACGGCTTTCAATGGCAGTGATGTGAAATTTTCATAGATTTGTTGAATTAGAGAATTGCTTAAAGCAATTATATATGTACACATGAAACTAAAGAACTGTGATAATTAAAATGATTATGATATATTTGTATATATTCATATAGGTATAAGTTTTTATACCAATGTCAATAAAATTGGGATCACCAAAAAAGGTATCAATGGTTGTGTATGTTTATCATTTGATCATCTGATGATAGGCTAACAGGTCAGGTTAAGGCTAACAGGTCAGGTGAAAGACTCCAGTCCAGCGCTCTGTGCTAACTGGTCAGGTGAAAGACAAAAGTTGTAGTTAAACATGGTGAATATCCAAATCCTTAGCTGTCACTTTGACACAAACCACATCCTCATCAACAGATGGAAAAGTTGAATTTCTCTGAAACACTATGTGAGCATAGAAGACCACCACATTAGCAATGAAATCAGTCTTCACCTTAGGATCAGGCAGTACATTCCTCATTTCCCTCAGAAGTCTGAAGCTGGCACTGTTGTCCACCCTCTTGACTAATGTAGTTAACAAAACAATGTGTGCCAAACAGGTGGGGCAACAAAACATCAAATGTCACCAAATGCTGAGCTGTCAAATGTTAATGTCACATTCAAGTTATGTAGTTTAGGTCATCTTGTTGCATACTAGAATGACAGGTCACCAGGTTTATTCAAATAAATGACCTTCATCCACTTTCAAGGTTACAGAGTTCATATGTGAAAATTTTTTTTTTTTTTTCAAATATTTTATTTACAAAGAAATCTACAATGTATATCACAGTACAAAATATGTCCTCATGAAGGAGAGCTCTTATTCACAACACACTTCATTCACACTGCCACTGTTTTGGTTGCACAAGCAAAGCTACAATTTAACATCAAACATAAATTACAATTTATTGATGGAGACATAACTTACTCTTTTTTTCAATGTAATTTTAATATTATTTGTTTTCATTTCAATACTGATATTTTATAACAAAGACACTTAATATCTTAATACATACTCATCATACTCAACTGCCTTCCTTTAATCAGTGATTACTTTCAGACTCCTAACTAGAGGTGTGCTCGCCCTTTGATGACTTACACCTGTGTGATCCACATGGATTGGGTTTTCTAAAATATAAACTTTATTAATTTTACAACATTTACAAAGCAATCTTTAAGCTTATATTAATCCCTCTAAGTGGCCCTGGTGGAAGCACACAAGAGGTTTTACTACTGTGGAAGGAAACCGGGGTACCCGGGGAAAACCCATGTGGTCAGGCAGGTGACCCCATACCTTTCCACATCCATTCCGGGCATTGATCACCAGACCACCAAGGTGGAAGGATAAGGGTTTTTTCTACTGTGCCACCTGACCAGCAATGGACTGTTTCTGGTGGTTCATCTGGCTATGTCATGTTTATTTTCCATTACTAAAATTTCATATATTTAGTCAATCTGATCAAAAAACAATATTCCAATGTCAATATATGATAAGAATGTGTGAGATTCTGACATGATAATAATCATGTTGTTCAGTGTGATACACTATCTTTTATGGACTCGTTGGCTTGTAAATATGTAATACCCATTTCCTTCCGATGATTAACTTTCTAAAAACTCAAAATGTGTCAGAGTACAAATCATGAATTCCAATTCTCTCAATTCAAATGCTGTAGGAAAGTCTATGATTAGAATAGGATAAGATCATAGGACTTTTATAATGTCACGAGTAACAATTTAAAAAAATACCATATTTTTAGCCCACCATCATCAGATGGTGGGGTATTCAAATCGCCCTGCGTCCGTTGTCTGTCAGTCCGTTAACAATTCTTGTTACCGCTATTTCTGGGAAAGTACTGGATGGATCTTTCTCAAATTTCATATGCAGGTTCCCCGTGGTCCCTAATTGTGCATTTTACCTTTTTTGGACTGATCCGAAATCAAGATGACTGACAGGCAGCCATCTTGGATTTTGAGAGTAAGATCTTGTTACTGCTATTTCCGAGGAAGTACTGGATGGATCCTTCTGATATTTCATAGGTTTTGGTTTCCCTTGGTCCCTAGTTTTGCATTGTACATTTTTTTGACTGATTTGAAATCAAGGTGGCCCACAGGCAGCCATCTTGGATGTCGACAGTAATACAGTAGTTTGTTATTGCTGTGACAGGATCCCTATCAAATTTCATATTTAGCTTCCTCTTGGTACCTAGTTAAGCATTGTCCCATATTTTAAATGATCTGAAAAACAAAATGGCCTATAGCTCTCCATCTTGGATTTGAACAGCGAGTAATTGTTTTATGGCTATTTCTTGCCTACATGATCAGTCATTCTCAAGTATCAGATTTTCTAAATTAAGTAAACATTGATAAATACACTGTTTAGGGTATTTATACTAAACCATGCAATGAATTGAGTTAATGGCATATGGGTTGACACATGAGAAGTAACAGAAGAATTGATTTTTTTAAAATGTCAATAATTCCTAATATTCAAGTGTTGGTGTTACAAAAACATTAATGTAATAAAATAAAGTATAAAATTTGAAATTTAAAAAACAAAAAAAAAATAGTTTTAAAAAACTTTAACTTTTATTATACTTTTGCTCTTGTACATGTGCATCATTTCATCATCATCATCATCATCATCATCATCATCATCATCATCATCATCATCATCATCATCATCATCATCATCATCATCCATTTTGAAGTATACAACTTAATAAAGGGTGTTCATTTTATCACTATATCCCTATAAAAATATCTTGTGCCATCATTGAGTACATTTAATGAAGACCAGTTCATGAACATTTACAACACCTGCAACAAAAAAAATAAACAAATCTTCAAGAACTGAAAACAGATCCTCAAATGATGGGCGTCAAGATCCCACTGGGATCTCTTGTTAGTAATTTAGGAGTAAGATTCACACCACAAATTGTCCTGAAGAAGCACACATGTTTAGACTGATAGACATACAGTAATACAGATACTGATATTCCTGCACTTGTTGTAATTTATCATTGCCTTCGAGTTCAAAAGTTATAAATTTGTTTCCTTTTATTAAATAGTATAAAGTTCAGAGATACAATGCCTTTTTTATAGATAAAGGAGAACAGTATTTTAATGCAATTACTAAGGAAAGGAAGAAATGGATACAACTTGAATGATGAAAACATTCTTATGTTTTGCATACATTGAATACATATGCTCACTCCTACTCTCCCTCCCCCCACCCCCCTCTCTCTCTCTCTTCCTTCCCCGCCTCTCTCTCCCCCCTGCCTCTCTCTCCCTCCCTCCCCTGCCTCTCTCTCCCCCTCCCCTGCCTCTCTCTCTCCCTCTCCCTCTCTCTCTCTCTGTCTCTCTTAAAATCTTTGAACAACTTCTCACATTGACCTTTCAAAGTCCACAGGGGAAAATGTGAAAATACCCAAAGGCTTAATGAAGCCTACTTTGTTTATCAAATGATTTGATCTTGATCACATGGATCAAGTGCATCAAAAGCCTAAAATTTCTTCTTTCAAGAAGCAATAGGTTGTTGGTCATGGTATTTGTGTAGAAGCATGCTTTTGGAAAGAGATTTCAAGTTTGCAGAAAATTAGCTTCATGAACTGACACAGTTTTCTTTGTAAGCTGTAGAAAAGGTGAACATTTCAGGCCCATTGGGCCTCTTACATGTCTTCACTGCTAAAATATTCTGAATTTGAACTGTTTCAGTCTTTACATTCCTACTACTGCCATTATGTAAAGATCTTTATAATCTGATTATTTTTTACTATTAAAACCATGGACCTCCTTTTTTTTGTTTGTTTGTTTCCTTGTAATGTCTTAAATCAATCAAATATGTTTGCTCCTGAGAAATAATGCCATCTTCAATTCTTCTTTTCTTTCTCATCTTCCCCTTCTGTTGCTTTCATCAGCGTTCCTATTGTAACCCCTATGAACATCAGGAATCCAAGTTTTGAGTTGGAGCGAAATTTCGTCGCACAATCATCTGCGTTTTCCAGGTCAACTGACCAAACCTTAATAAGGAAAAATAATATGAGAAAATCTACAGTGATTATGAAATTTTTATTTTTAATAAGAGGGATTTTGATGTCCCACATTGTATGATATTTATTAATGCTATGTGTAAAGTGTTTTGGTCACCTGAGTCTCGTGGTGATCTACTGTGACTGTCTTTTGTCCTGTGTCATATATTGTTAACTTTAACATTTTCAACTTCTAATGAAAAACCTGCAATGAAATTTTGTACCCCCCTTCTGTGGCCAAATGAAGTAATTGTACATAATATGGTTAACCTTAATGCCCAACCCCTCCTACCTTCCCCTTCCCCCTTCCCATTTACTGTCTTTAGTATGATAACATTGACCATTCCTATTGATCTTCATTCAATCTCTGATTCACAATTCATGCATTTGTTTGTTCATTTGCACATTCAGTCAGCCAGTTTATATAGTGCCTGTTTGGTTCTCAACTGCCTGAACTGAAGGGGCCATTTGGCCAAACCAGTCAGCTTTGCCCTGTTTGGCCACTGTTTATGTGAACAAAAGGCAGAAACTGTACTTCTGACCAATGGACCTGACCTGTGAAATTAAGGTCAGGTCAGAGACCATTTGAAATTTGGCTTTATCCAAATTAATGGAAAAGGATTCTAAAAAATTGCAAGTTTTTCCTCTGGGCCCTGTCCTTAGCAATTTGAACAAAACACTGCCATTTCTACAGTAGATCCCTGTTGAGTTCTGCCCTTCCCAAATTCAGGGGCTAAGATCAACCATTTATACAAATTGATTTTTCTTCTTTCCTTCATAGTATGCTTTAGACAAAATCTGTACAAAAACCATGCATTAGTACAAATAAAATTATAACTATGAATAGTCAGTAAATATTATCAATAAATAAATGGTTTAGTGTAGTTGATTGCTATATTTAACAAACCTGGTGGAAGAGATGACCACAAGTACAGGCCACTGCTGTGAAGTATGGCCAAGTTTGATCACACATGACCCCTGTAGTCACCAGTCCACCCACCATTGTGGTAGCGAATCCTGACAACCAGTATTTACTCTGGTCACCAAACTTCAAAGCTGTAGACTTAATGCCAATCAGCATGTCATCATATTTATCCTAAAAAGACAAACATTCATAATTTAATATCTGATTTGGAAATCATATTTAGATCAACATCAAGGGATGACTACAATGATAAACAAACCCCAAGGGATTGGGCACCTACCATTCTGTGATCCTCATTTGTTCTGTAAAAGTAGGATTTTTCCTTATTTTCACTTCTTTCCATTTATTTGTTCTTAAAGATATGAAATTTGAGAATTTCCTCTTAAGAAATAACAATAATAATCTTGCAGTATCAAATCAAAGATGGTCACCTGTCTGCCATTTTGTTCATAATTAGGCTCTTATTGTCAAGGACAAAACAGCTTGTATGCTGCAGTTTAATTCATTGATTGGCTCTAATGTGGGATCACACAATGTTATGTGATGTACAATATGTGCTCAATGTCTACACAACGTGTCCATGACAGGAAAACTGGGGAAAACTTGCTAATACATATTTGTGTGCATGGTGTGTGAACTTATCTGAAAGCTTATTGATACAAATGAATGAAACCTTATTGTCAAACTCATCAGAGATCTTAGTGATATAAGGCTGCATACCAAGTTTCATCAAAATCTGTTCATATCTTCTCATGTTATTCTTCATAAATTCCTACGGTAATTACAATTTAAAGGGACATAAATCTATTGATTACAATCTAATTGGTCCGATTGTTCAAATCATTTGAGATCTTATTTAAGTATCACTGCATACCAAGTTTCATCTAAACCTGTCCATATTTACTTAAGTGAACTTATCTGAAAGCTTATTGATACAAATGAATGAAACCTTATTGTCAAACTCATCAGAGATCTTAGTGATATAAGGCTGCATACCAAGTTTCATCAAAATCTGTTCATATCTTCTCATGTTATTCTTCATAAATTCCTACGGTAATTACAATTTAAAGGGACATAAATCTATTGATTACAATCTAATTGGTCCGATTGTTCAAATCATTTGAGATCTTATTTAAGTATCACTGCATACCAAGTTTCATCTAAACCTGTCCATATTTACTTAAGTTAATAAGTGTTAATAAGGTCTATGGTAATAAACCTGTAAAGGGCCATAACTCTGTAAATATTATCAAATCAAATAATTAATTTTAGGTATTGTTCATAGAAGGCTGCATACCAAGTTGCATAAAAATTTGTTCAAATTTACTCTTGTTCAGTAGTAATTACATTTTAAAAGGCCATTAATCAAATCACTCCTGAATGTCAAACTCATGCCAACAGCCTAACAGAAGTACAAAGATTTTAAGATCAAGTTTAGTTTCCGTGATCCCCAGACAAAGAGCAAAGAAGCAATATATAATCATCCTGAGAAATGAGGAAAAAAATCCTTAATTTCCCCCACTTGAACAAAGGTGCTTAAAGCCAGACAAAATCTTGTAATTCCTGCATAAGAAGGATTTTGAATATGTAAAATAGAATGCTTCAAACCAAATTTGGTGAAAATCTATTAAGTAATTCATCGCTTCTAAAAAAGATGGATCACAAACAAAGGGAGACTGAAATGCATCCAATAAAAATGGGTATAAAGAATGTAATTCTTATAGTAGCAAAACAACATACCGGTAACTGGCAGTAGCACAAAAGCTGGACACATGCTTAATAATCAGAGAAAATATTCACCAATTTGGGCCTGCTTGTCTGCTATGCAATCATATTAATTTTTTTGTTTGTTCATTGTATGTTTTAACACCGTGATTAATAATTACCATTCGAGAGGATGAGAAAAAGTGGCAGATATGTTTGATTATTTCATTTGCACCATTTTCACGGGATGTGTAAATATTATAATAATAAAGTAAAAAAGTTGCAACTAAGGGCGACAACAGAAGCAAAACATTGATGCATGCACAGTATATACTGAGAGACATGTAGCACTCACTTGATGAGCATAAATGGTGTCATAGAAGAGTGTCCAAGCAAAACAACTCGAATACAGAGGCAGCACCACGGACAGGTCAACAGAGCCCTGTACAGCAGCCCAGCCTAACAGGGCTCCAAAATTGAAGGTCAAGCCTGGCAACCAAAACAAACCCATTAGTACTATGATGTCAAACTGCCCAATGAGAATTTGGTACCAATAGGGCGACAGTCAAAGGTTTCATTTCCCTGAAAATCAATTTTAAGGCAAATTTATGTTTTCGTGTAAAAATATTTTTCATTTCAAGCCATAACAAGCAGCATCCACCATTTTGTGGTTTTCATTTGGACCAGTCACCTGATCACTATAAGACCTATATATAACACCAGCAGTACAAAAAGTTTTAAATAATTAACATAGTTCAGAATATATTTTACACTAAAGTTTTAAAAACACTAACCTGAAAAAAAAGCTGAATGTTCCTAAATTGTTTAACTCTTCTGCAACTGAATTATACAGAAGACTGTCCATTCATTAACTAAATTTCTTCAAATTTGAAACCCTATTTATCCAGCAGGGTACAAAGCTAATGCCATGAAGCCAGACCTATTGCTCCTTCAGCAAAAGAAGTTCTTAAAATAATCATTTGAACTTAGTTCTTCATACCAACATGTTACAGAGTCAATATCAGTACCCTGGGACATTTGCTTACAGAGAAGAAGTTGTTTAAATAAGTAAAAATGTATAACCCCTGTGACCTGAAATGTGGATCAAGGTCATACATTTGAACTAATTTGGTAATCATTCATCCCAACATGCCACAATCTCCATATCAGCACTCTGAACATTTCAGTTAAAAACAAATCATTTGAAACCTATGACTTTGAAAGAGGTTCAAAGTCATTCATTTAAACAAGAGGCCCATGTGGCCTGTATATCCCACTTAGCTAATTCAGCTTTTAAATCATTCAACAAAGAATTTTTAAGAAATAAAGTATTAAAAATATTTTTGTTATTTTGGGCCCTGCCTCATGGTCTAACAAAGTCAGACTTACCATTTATGTAAAAAATTTGCTTCAGGTCAAACTTTGATACTTCAGACGAAATTGGGACAGAAAAGGCATTCCTCCAGAGGAACATGGATTTTGAAATATTTGATCTCATTCGGCATGGTACCCCACACTTCCTGCCTAATGGGGTCATGAACTACTGTTTATTCAAAATTGATACCCCTTTAATTAGCAATCTAGCTTGCTTCTGGCTAACTTTGAACAAAATCCATTCATTCCTAAAGAGGAATATTAAGACTACCTCTTCCACACCCATCATTTACACAAAATTGATTTTCCTTCAAATACGGATATTATAGACCAAATTGGAGGAGACTCCAAATCCTAGCATTCCTTCAAAGAAATAAGAATTTGAAAGAATTTGCTCTTTATCCCATATTGAGACCCACCCGTCTGACCACAGGGGAGACAGATTCAGCAGTTAGAATTGATTCTCTTCACCATCGAATGTTTTAGCCCAAAAGATGTGTAAAATCCAATTAATTTAAAGAAAGATACAAAATTGATTTCCCTTCACCCAAGAATGCTTCAGACCAAATCAAGGCAAAATCCAATCAGTCCTACTGGAGGAGTTGAATTTTTCAGAATTTGCTCTATTACTACTCCTAGGTCCTGCCCCTATGGCCAACAGGAGGTCAAGACCCACCATTCATAATAAAAGAACATGCAAAATTTCCCATTTTGGGCCCTGTCCCTCAGGTTTCAGAGAGCCAAGACCCACTGTTTTTACAAAATCAGTTCAACTTCCCACAAGGAAGCTTCAGACGAAGTTTAGTTAAAATCGACTCACTCATACATGACTAGAAAAGTTGACAGATGATGGACAGATGGTAAACAGACAGACAGATGACAAACAAAGACAAACAGGTAGGCCCTAAAGTAGTCCTCTGTTATACAAACGAAATGTACCTTAAATCTTGCTGTACTATTTGCTCTTCTCATGTTTTTATACATTTCCCAAATCCCAGGTATGTCTTATTGAAATCAAGTTTGAAACGTTTAACATATTGATATTAAATACATTGGTATACACAAATAAGACAGGTATCTATTTTAGTATAAGTACATAAATGTCAGCATTACCATCCAAATATTTGAAATTCATTCAAATACACTGAATGAATATTCAAATACCAAGATCTGCTACTGACATTTAAGCTCTACTTAAACGTAGATCAAAGTTATGCATTTGAACAAACTTGGTAGCCTTTCCTCCCATCTTGCTACAAGCATATCTAATATCAGTTACTTTTGCCCTAGGAAGTAATGGTTTGAATGGAAAGTTTACAAACAACACAATGGTCAAAACACAATGACTATCTTCAATGAGGGTCCCAAAATACACTATACCTTATAGCATGCACTAACAACAAGACAACAGACATGCTTCACAACATTGAAATAAGCTGAATTAACTTTTAGTGCATAAACATTCAAAGGAGGAGATCAAAGGTTTGTTTTCGTCTGCAATACCTGATGAGAATAAATGGTATCATATATGATGGTGTACACCACACACGCTGTATACAAGGGTAGTACTGGCCAGTCCAAACCCCCAGTGATGGCTGACCAGGCAATCAACACACCCCAATTCAAGGTCACACCTGCAAAAAACAGGACCCTGTGTGTGACATGATGGACAGAATAAAGCAGCATCTAGGTTAGTCATATGCATCATATAGTTTATTTACCCATGGATGCTTCTGACCAAATATGGACATGGGTAAAATTCAATCATTCCTATAGAATAGAACAAAATGAAAGCATCTGCCATATTTCCTCTATTGTGTCCCATTTAAGGGGATTGAGAACCATCATTTATAAAAAAAAAAATCCTCTTCACTCAAGGTTGCTGCAAACCAAATTAGGATAGAATCCTGACCTTCTTAAAAAAGAAAGATTTTTTTTTAAGAATTTACTCTATTTCCCCAACTGGGCATAGCCCCTCATGCCTCAATGGTCCAAGACCAGTCACTTATAAAAAACTGATTTCACTTCCTTCAAGGATGCTACAGACCTAATTGGGATAGAATCCTGGCATTCCTACAGAAGAAGAAGAATTCTAAAGAAATTAATATTTTTCTTCTATTGAGTTATGCACCCAGCCCTAAAGGGGCCAAGACCAAATGTTTAAACAAAATTGATTCCCACTAGCCCATGCTATACATGCTATATAGGTGACCTAAAAATTGCTCTATTTCCCCTTGTGATCCCTGTCCTCAGGCCCTAAGTGAATAGATCCTCCATTATCCAACAATGAATCACATCACCAAAGGATGCTTCAGATTAGGTGTTGATTACAGTAGTGACTGAGGAAAAGTTGACATATTGACAGACAGATGGGCAGACAAAACAGTATGCCATAAGCTCACATTATGTTTCCATATTAATAGTTCTGGAAGTTTCTGATGTGTTTGGCCATCACACAAAGCCTGCATGCACATCTAAACATGGTCCCTAATATTGCTTAGAGTTCAATTAAACAAATACAAGTAAGACAAAATTGACAAAAAAGTGACAAATGTTTTTTATGGACCGATTAACGGACGGACAGATGGACGCACGAACAGACAAGCTAATTCCAGCATGTATTTCAAACTTTGTTGTGTGAGTGTGTTTGTGGAGAGGGCTGGGTTGAGAGTATTCTGGGTGGTTGGGGTTACATAATAATATACATTAAGAATGTCATTTGCCATCAACCTTGGCCATTGGTTGTCATGCATGGAATTCTATGTACAATAAATGGCTGATGAAGAGAAAGGTTTACAAAGTTAGTAAAGGTAACAAGGAAACAGGAAATCAAACCTTACCCAGCATTGCTTGAGGCCAGTAGGTGAACCTCTTGGCTAGTGGATACAAAATCACTGGAATCATTGAAGATGCCCCTAGTATGATACTGAAAGGAAACGAAATAACAACATGAGGCTCAAGGGCCTGATCTTTATCAATTTTTACAAAGAAAATGATATCTAATGTCTGGTGTTCCAGTTTGGCAAGTTCAGCAGTCTCTCTATGGCAAATTCCAAAAAGAAATTGTCAGGGAATGATGGACAGACAGACCACAGACGTAGGGCAATTTGAATAACCCATCATCTGAAGATAGTAAGTAAAAATCTATGTTTTTAAAAAGATACAAAACAGATTTGTGTTTTCACTGATCCCTTACAAGGCAGCTACCAAGCCTCAGAATGTGCAATTTCATAACAACGTCACTAGGAAAATTGCATTAATGCACCTGTAATTATTAGATGTAACATAATCATAAAGAAAATCTTCAGAATATTTCCATTTCATGAATTTAACAAAACCAAGCTTGTTTTGATTGACAAACAAATTATGTAACTAGAGATCAACTGACACCAAATACAAATCTGTTTTTTTACCTCCACAAAATACAAGAGACCCATGCAGTAATAATGGTGTAGTTTAACTAAAATCTGTCAAATCAAATAGGTTAAAATCTTCAAACAATTTCTTCTCAAATACCAGTACAATGATATTGAGCTTTGGCCAGGCTGGGATGAAGAGCTACAAAGTTTGTTCAAACAAATGACCTTGACTTACTTTCAAGGTCACAATGGTCAAATTCATTCAATATTTAAATGACTTCTTCCCAATAACCGCAAGTCCTAAAGTGCTGATATTTGGCTTGTAGCATGCTAGATGGAGTGCTACCAAGTGTGTCCAAATAAATAATCTTGACCCATCTTCAAGGTTACATGGGTAAAATAAGTTAGAATCTTGAAATCTTCCAACTAGAGATCTAAATGACAGTCTCTTAGTTTTGACCACAATTTTTGTTTTATTTAAGTTCTGACAGCTCATATTTCAAATAGCTTAACCACTGAAAGGAAGTGCCTCTGATTTTGTCCCCAATACCTGTTTTTGCACATGGAAAGGACTTGTCACACTTGAGTGAGAGTGTTCCTTCCACTGACCATGTCTAATATCTAAACAGTATTCCAGAAGGCAGGCACTCTCATATGATCTTTTTCTCATGTAGCCTTGCTCTTTGAACCCCTGGTGGTAAGAATCACACAACTTATAATTTTGATTTGTCATATTCGGCTATGGAACATTTCTGCATATTTTTATTGAAATCAGTGTAGCAGTTGTGTGAAAATGTCAACAAAACAATGATGAACAAAGATGATCAGTTTTGCCCAGTTTATATAAAAATACAGCACAGACTAACCTGAACATATTTAGTTGACAAAGTATTGCCAGAGACACAGATAGCATTCCTCCTAAACAGACCAGGCCCTGGAACATGCTCAGCTCACCACTAGTTAGGGGACGACATTTTGTTCTTTCCACCTGGTATCACAAGGTCAGAATATCAGAACTTGTATGTAGTATAAATACCAATATACATTACCACATATGTGAAAACATTTCTGAGAAATCTCTTTAGATTTACAAATATTTCAGTATTTCTAACCTTCAATCCTGTATTACTATTAATGCAATTTTAGTTTTGAAAGTTAAAAGTTTTGAAAACTTTTTTTTGTTATATAAATCAACTATAAACCTAGAGAGAATTATCTGCACCAAGAGCACATGGCCAGTGATTACAGTTACTAAATTTTACCTTCTTATCAAAGTCTCTGTCCCACATGTCATTTATGATACAACCAGCCCCTCTCATAAAGAAAGCACCTGTCCCAAATAATGTCAACAGCCAAAGATCAGGAATGTGACCTGGGGTCGCAGCCATTGCAATGCTCCATGTACAGGGCCAGTATAACAATAAAGTACCTGGACAATTAAAGAACCATTTATTATAAAAAAAAATTGTCAACAATGAAAAGAGAGAGTTTTTTAAATCAATGATTTATTGAAACACTTTTATTTTTCTGTTGTTTAGAGTTCTGATTATCTACTCATGATTTTATCTTTTTGCCATGCTTGCAGGTCAGTCAGCATTTCTACTCATACATGTATAAAAACACCAAATTTGAGTGACCTGTGCATGGTAATTATACTGATAATGTTTTATTTAACATAAAACAGCCCCTGTACAATGCCTATAAATAACACACCAACAGAAAAATTCTGTGTCAAAGCCTTTCAAAGTAGTTGACTAAGTGCATGTAGCTCATTTTTTCTTGACAACCACAATCTGAGGATTGGTGGCCATTCCTAAAATTGGTTTTGAAATAATAAAAACAATTACTGAGTGTAGCTGAATTACAATAATAACATTTTATAGACTTTTTTAACTTGTAATTACTTTCTGACTTAGTAAACAAATTAGTCATGTTGATTCCATATGGTTTGCAACTATGAGACGATAGTTGCTATATACTAGGCTTATTGTATTTAAACAGAACTGATATGATACTTAAAATGCTTCTATTTTTTATGTTTGTTGGTTCCCACACAGAAGATGTAACCCTAGATATCACTACCAGCAAGCCCTCTGTTTATCAACTAATTCGTTTTTCAAAGAATTGAACAGCTAGTGCTCACTTAATTAGTGTTATAATGTACAGCTGGTAATCACTTAATTAGTGTTATAAAGTACAGCTGGTGATCACTTAATTAGTGTTATAATGTACAGCTGGTGATCACTTAATTAGTGTTATAATGTACAGCTGGTAATCACTTAATTAGTGTTATAAAGTACAGCTGGTGATCACTTAATTAGTGTTATAATGTACAGCTGGTGATCGCTTAATTAAAGTTATAATGTACAGCTTGTGATCACTTAATTAGTGTTATAATGTACAGCTTTTGATCACCTAATTAGTATTATAAAGTACAGCTGGTGATCACTTAATTAGTGTTATAATGTACAGCTGGTGATCACTTAATTAGTGTTATAATGTACAGCTGGTGATCACTTAATTAGTGTTATAATGTACAGCTGGTAATCACTTAATTAGTGTTATAATGTACAGCTGGTGATCACTTAATTAGTGTTATAAAGTACAGCTGGTGATCACTTAATTAGTGTTATAAAGTACAGCTGGTGATCACTTAATTAGTGTTATAATGTACAGCTGGTGATCACTTTATTAGTGTTATAATGTACAGCTGGTGATCACTTAATTAGTGTTATAATGTACAGCTGGTGATCACTTTATTAGTGTTATAATGTACAGCTGGTGATCACTTAATTAGTGTTATAATATACAGCTTGTGATCACTTAATTAGTGTTATAATGTACAGCTTGTGATCACTTAATTAGTGTTATAATGTACAGCTGGTGATCACTTTATTAGTGTTATAATGTACAGCTGGTGATCACTTAATTAGTGTTATAATATACAGCTGGTGATCACTTAATTAGTGTTATAATGTACAGCTGGTGATCACTTAATTAGTGTTATAAAGTACAGCTGGTGATCACTTAATTAATGTTATAATGTACAGCTGGTGATCACTTAATTAGTGTTATAAAGTACAGCTGGTGATCACTTAATTAGTGTTATAATGTACAGCTGGTGATCGCTTAATTAGTGTTATAATGTACAGCTTTTGATCACCTAATTAGTGTTATAATGTACAGCTGGTGATCACTTAATTAGTGTTATAATGTACAGCTGGTGATCACTTCATTAGTGTTATAATGTACAGCTGGTGATCGCTTAATTAGTGTTATAATGTACAGCTTTTGATCACCTAATTAGTGTTATAATGTACAGCTGGTGATCACTTAATTAGTGTTATAATGTACAGCTGGTGATCACTTCATTAGTGTTATAATGTACAGCTGGTAATCACTTAATTAGTGTTATAATGTACAGCTGGTAATCACTTAATTAGTGTTATAATGTACAGCTGGTGATCGCTTAATTAGTGTTATAATGTACAGCTGGTGATCACTTAATTAGTGTTATAATGTACAGCTTGTGATCACTTAATTAGTGTCAGTTATACCTAGATATTTCAACTGAAAAAGTTATATTCTGAATAAAAAAATACTTTGTCAACAGAAAATCAACTAATTGCAAAACTTACCATTTGAATACCATTATACTTTTCAAATACCATCCTACTAAATGGATATTAGTAACAATTAGCATACAATCTTACCTATAGGTTTATCAAATCTGATAAGCCTTAAATATGGTTGAATTCTCTTTGGGGAAGCATCCAGAATACCTTTAGGAGATAGAGTCAGGCAGCGTATAGAAGGGTCCATCAATTTTTTTGTGTGTAACAGATCCGAGTTTCGCGATGAATGGATGTTATAACGACATGGTTTACTATTCCTTAGAAATCTTGATTGAGTCAATCGGTCTTTATGTAAAGACCATGAGAAGTTGCTGCAAACTTTGGAAGAATTGTTTAAATTCAGCAACAAAGGGTGTTTGAATCTGTAACACTGACTACACCCTGGTTTTCTGTCATAAACATCACTGCTTTGTAATGTATTATATTGATCAGATAAAGCCATTGGTCTTGTTGTTGCATTACTGTGGGATACCCTTGATGACAGCCGTCCAATCAGACTCACATCTTGGGAAAGACATAATGCAGTTCTTGCACTTAGGCTGCAAGAGTATGAGAGTCCCCAGAACAATGATTTCTGTAGTCTCATGGCTTTCTTGCTGAGAAACTGTGCCTGCAACAACAAATCAAAATATTTACTACACTAAAATCATAGTCTAAATGAACAGTATATGAGAAAATTATAATCTAAGCTGTGAAGTTTGACAGTATAAAGAGGAGAATAAAAATAAAAAGTAAATTGCTTGCATGTCATGTAATGAAGGTTTTGAAGCAAAGTGGGTTTTTTGGGTGAGTGTCTGATTTCACTGCCAGATGAGTGTCCGACTAATTGTAATCAGACAGTTTAATGATGTTTTAAGAAGTCTGGCGACATATTTTGGGTGTGATATATTTAGCGAATCATTTACCAAATTAAAGAAAAGAAAATTATCAGTCGATTTAGACCACTTCAAGTGACGGCCACAAGTTCACACAAATCGGGTTGTCTCAATAGATTGACTAATTACCTTGTCATTAGTATGACAAGTCTGTAGTCCTATAACATAAGAAGCTGCTGGTCGACCGTTTCATAAACTGACATTATTGTGCCGACTGTTCCACGGCGCCAGTTATAAATTTCTCGCCGTGTAAAACTCCTAACACTGTGGTTCAACTTCTTACTGCAGTGATGCCTAATGGATATTAACGAGACATTGTGTTATTAAGGTCTGTGGTATGTGTGAAAAAACTGATAGCCAAATTCAGGAGAGGAATCTATTTTTTCATATCTGAAAATTATTTAGCAGGTCTATTTTAACTTACCGGCCGGCCGCTACCTACACTTTCACTTTCTAAGCACATACGCGAGAAGTTCCGAAAGGACGATTAGAGAGAGTCCGATCTCATTACTTAAAGAGCGCTGTCTAGCGTCGAAAACGTGGAACAAAGTTAGGTAATGCAGTCTATTAAAAAATTACTGGATTGCTCGCAGTAAATTATCTACTCTCCGCCAGAACATATATAAATAGAGAACTGTTTTTGACCAGTGTGAGACACTAAACTGCAAAAGCGATGTTGTCTGGGTTTGGAAGTTCTGGTCCATGTCTAGGGCGCTGTTGATCCTCTAATTCATTAGTGCAGAGACGTATATATCACATATATATACGTCTCTGATTAGTGTATAGGCCTACTGACACTAATGAGAGGTGTGATCCTCTACCCCGTCCCGTGCATTATACATCTGTAAAAATAGTTCACATGTACAGCGAAGGCAGTTATGTTCCACGAGAATTCCGAGTGCAATGATCACTGCTGAAATTATACATATAAGTTAGTTTACAATTATTCGATGAATAAAGAAGTAATCTCGTAACAACTCTATTTCCTTAACCAATTAGTAAACAGGGGCGTAGCTAGCCCAGCAGAAATGTGTAAGCCCAGCCGAGGGGTCTGAATTTCAGGATATCAAAGATGTTTTGAATCGTTTTCTGAGACATTTTTTTTTTTATTATTCATTTATTAACAACAAACGTCAACCTATTTATTTTCAACCTTAGTTTTGTAATTTTTGTCCGACATACTCTATGCACGGATTTTTTTTATGTGTAAGCCCTGCCATTTTCTTTCTGTGGAAGCTACGGCCCTGGTAAACTCCTACCAACACTTCCCGTTGACTTACTGTGTGTGATGTCATTATTTTTGCTTGCTTGCCGTTTCTGTTTGGTAGCGGAGTGCGTATTTTGACAGACGGAATGGTTTTGACGGCGTCATTGACGTTTTTAACTATAGCAAAGTACGTAACTCGACTGACGGGTTGGTTTTGACAACATCATTGATGTTGTTGCTATAGTTAAATAAATAATTCGACTGACGAATTGGTTGGTATGTGACTTGCATGGCGTACATGGCGTGTTTTGGCGTGTATTGTTGATATTGTACATGCAAAAACATCATTTTTACAATTTTTTGATATTGCTGATGTTGTTCGCTGTTGTTTGCTGCTGTTTGTTGTTGTTTGCTTCTGGCAGAGACGTATATAACATATGTGTAATATATGTCTCTGCTTCTGGTATTTGTATGCTTGATATTTTGACCTCAAAATGTGTAATTTGAATCCTGGGTTGTTTACAATCGTAGGGAAAATTAAGACTGGGCACTAACTTCTCCTTTTGGGTCCCCTCACCAGGTCCCAATATGGGTTGAATCAAAAATTTTAACCTTAGAATTGATTGTCCACCTTCAATGATGTTTAAGACAAAATTTGTTAAAAGCAAAATCTTGCCCTACTTTCCCTTGTACTTTTTCTGGAGTCTCTGTGACTCCTCTACTTGTCCGGGTATCCTCTCACCGACGAACGTCAGTGTTCTAGCGACAGTTTACACTAAATCTCATGCTGAGTATTTATCATATTGCATGATTTCGATCTTTTCTTGACCGCTTTATCAAAAAAGAAAGAAAACATGACGGACTTGAATGTTGTGTGGCCAACATATGAAACATCACATCTTTATTTTATTTGGCTGTTTCAAAATTTGATACATCACTTATGGCATGTGTTTTCCTTTTCTACACAGGTCCTTATAAATTTTGATTTAAATACAAAGCAGAAGCTGTGTCATTTATCAACTTCTTTAGAAATGCAGGTGTCACTTTCATAAGGTAAATATAACAAAGTTTCCAACAGTATTGTTTCAAACGTGCTTCAACAAAAAAACGTGGTTGATTGTGGGATTATAACTATTGCTTCCCTGGTAGAACAAAAGTTTCGGTGACATAGATTGTATGAGACAGCATCTTAATGATTTTATTTCAAATGGATTTTTAAGAAAATTTCATTAGAAAAAGGTAGGCAAGTTTAAGAAAAAAATTAAAACTTGCCATTAAAATTAATTTTTTGATATTTTTGTTGATAATGAAGTAGACAGCTGCATATTTCGAACGCTTCTGATGACATGGTAAGTTGTGGTGCTGGCTGTTACAGGTTGTAGTAGATGTGTTAGTGACAAGTCCATTGTGAATGTTTCGTTCTGATACCTTTATTTGGAGGTGAGGGAAACCTCAGTCGTGGCAATGCAATATCTTGGATAGGGTTTTAGGAATAAAGTATTTTAAGCAAATTTATTAATGATATAGCTTGATCAAAATCATTCCCAATTTAATATAACATTCTAAATATGTTTTTGTCATTGTTGAATTACCAAATAAGTACAATTGATCATATTAAGAAAATTGGCTTTCATGCAGAAGTACCATCTCGACGCAAGGCCTTGTAACATTATTATTTCTGTCTGATACTACTGAATCAAACATTCATCAGACTGAAGAAGTGTGTGTGTGTGTGTGTGTGTGTGTGTGCAATCCTAGCCCTATATGCAATAGATTCTGCAATTTCCCTTCATTTGCATCAATATTGTATCATATGTTGAAACAAGTGGAATATTATATCAAACTAACAAAGGTGCAAAAGGATTTTATTTGTTAATTTTGAAGACATTATCAGAGACATATATGTGTCCATGATATACGTCTCTGACATTATTAAATGAATTAACGTAATTTTATAGGTGTTATCTCCCTTCCAAATTAATATCGGGAGCTGTAATTTTCAGAAGGTTATGTGTTCTAACCATATAAAAAACTTTTTTGTTGTCCAGTTGTTGCTTTTGGGTATATTGTATAATACTTTTGGGTGTTTGGGGATAAGTTTTGCTGTTTATGAGGGTTTTTGGGTAGATCGCTCCGCCCAAGCGAAGTGTTATGTGTAATACAGTCTGAAGATGCCACTACACACAAACCAATGACATCACATAATTTTGTGCATATTCACAAAAGGCGCTCGACACGAATCTCCGTATCCGGAAGAATTATGACAACATTGTTCTCTTCTGTTCGCAATGCTTGATCCTACGTATTGTTAACAGAAAACTGCATTATCTCACTAATGTTCGAAATACCAGACGATGATGAAAAATTTTGGGAGGTAAAATATTGATATGACTATTCATTGTGCATGCACAGCCATAGGCAACAGGGCCTAGCAATCTCTAACAAATATTTATACTTGTCGATTTATACATGTCTGTATTAGTTTCATACCCCCTTAAGATTTGCATTTCCATAACAATGCTATGATAGCAGCCTATGTTGACGAATTACAAAAAACAAATACACATATGCCTTTGAATGCATTTATGCTACAAGATTTTGTTGTGGTTGGACATTGGGGTATTGCATGTTTGGCCTCCAACATGCGTTTGCATGCGGCTACACATGTGTACATACGTGGTTAGGACATTTACTGGAATGGAGTTGAATAATCCAAATGACAGAAATGAAGAAAAATAGACTTTTATCAACAATAATTTGAGAGAATGGATCTAACATAATGTTCTTTAATGACATGTTGATCTGTATGTCAAAAGTCCTGAGTTTATTATTCTATCTAAAAAAAAATTTTGAAGTTATTGTGAAAAATTCCAAGTTGGGGTGGACAGACGTAGAAGATGAATTATGGAAATGGAGGAAAAGGACATGACATCAATTTTTTGTTCAAGAGAATGGACTTCGTATTGTTTTATTTGATATAAGTTAAGGTTGTGACCCAATTGGGGAAATGTTAGTTCTTAGAAATCCTTTTTCCATTTTTGATTTTGACTATGAAAGTTTATTGTTACTTCTTGAAATCCCAGTAATTATCATCACTGTTTCTTTATTATAAAATTAACCACAAATACAGGGGACAGAATAGAAAAGAATTAAAAAATGATAAACCGATAAAGACCCACTAAAGATCAGGCAATGGTGGGGGCCAAACCCCATTTGTAATATCTCTGGTTTAAAACATACTGAGCTTATAACACCCAATTCTGTTCACAGGATGTACCATTGAATGACATCAGTAATGAAAATGCTACTCCAGTTAAAGTCACAGACTCAGAGTTACAGAAAGGTCAACCAAGCAACTTAGACCAGAACTATTTCAATAAAAGAAGATGTGTAACTCACCATGATCAGGCTCTGGGAAATCAAGGAAGGCAATTCCCAAACCAGAATTTTATCTCTGGAAAACCTTTACCCTCAACGGAAAACAAATGTGATAGAGGGTCATCCAATGTTTCTCCAAACAACAACTTTATCCGAGGTTTGGAATTTAACTTTTTTGTTATTAAGGGTATTTGAGGTTTACCTATAGACCTTGTACTTCGCTATTGTCATGCACAGTTCCCATGCATAAACCTTGCATTCAAATGACTTCTCAATAACCAAAGGCCAGAGGTAACAATAATTGACCATTATCATACTGTAATGAAGCACTATCAAGCATTTTCAAATGATTGACCTTGACTTACTTTCAAAGCCTCTGGAGTTAAACTCTGTGGCATGATGATATAAAGAGCTACCAAAATTTTAGCTCACCTGATCTGAAGGACTGATGAGCTTCCTGTGGAATGGATATTGTTTAAATTTGGTCTGAGGTATTCTTGGGTGAAGGGGGAATAAATTATATACAAACAGTAGATCCTGGGACCTCTGGGGCAGGAGGGGCAGCCACAGGGCCAAAAACGGGAAAAAGAGCACATTCTAAAAATCCTGTTATTGCTGTCAGAATTATTGGATTTTGCCCAAACTGTCTGGAAACGCTGTAAAATTTCTTATGGCTGAATAACATCTATATAATGCTTCAACATAAAATTATTCCTCATTAAACTAAAGAATATTCACTCTCAATCTGATCTCGTATGCCATAGCTGTTCACACCTCTGGTGGCTGCTACAGCATTGTTAAGCTTATGATGTCGTAGCTGATGGGATTCATTCGATGTGAGTTTATTAATGCTCATTAATACTAATTAGTAGTAGAGGGACCAGAATCCTCGTGATACTGGCGATATTATTGCTGTCATCTTCTGCACCCTGTGGAACTCCTGGAATATTGAGTGTAGACTGTGTGTACATAGTAGCACATTATGAGTATTACTCAATACATAGACCTGACGTTGTCTGTCCATGTGTGTATGTTTACGTCACACCTTGGGACAAAGTCTCATGGTGACCTATGGCGATGAACCAAAGATGAACCAAAATTGTGAATTATGCAGTCCCCAACTCACAGGGGCCTAAGAGGTGAGACCAAAAGGGGTCTAATTGACTCAGATTTCGAAAATCTTCTTCTCAACACCCAGATATGGAAGAATGGTCTTCATGGATAGCAGCATCTAAAGTTGCTTGACAAAAATTGTGAATTTCATGGCCCAAAGATCTTTGATTTTTGTTCTTAATTTGGTTAATTTCCATTGAAAACTTGGTTAGAATTATGAGCAAAGGATGATGACTTGATGGTATGCCCATATTGATCCTGGCTGACCCCCAGAGGCCAAATGGGGTAAAAGATGAAACTATCAGACTAAATAGTTGACATTATCCGACTAATTGGATGACATTATCAGACTAATTGGATGACATTATTAGACTCATTAAATTTTTGTGATATGATAATTTAGACTCACCTGAAAAATTATTACTGATATACTGAGGGTTGTTACCTTTCTTTAGGGAAGCTGAGTAACAGTATGCAGGGTTCATGTTTGAACATCCCTATACAGCCATCCAAAGTCCTGGTCCCTTTCGTTCAGGAGGTAGCCCTGCCAAGAGATTCGCTCATCACCAGTCCAAAAGGCTACACGTCGGGATGTGATGATGATTTAAGAAGTGGTCATACTTTTCACAGCAGCAAGAGGAAAAGGAAGTTTCCAGGACCAGCAGGTCTCCTTCCGCAACTTGTAAGATATTCTTTTCTTAACTCCAATTAAATATTTATTGGTATCTAACTGACTCATAGATATCAAACTATAGTAGGGAGCAAGTTTTGACTGAAGTAATGTTTTAAACTAACAGGTTAGTATATTGGGTACAACTACACTTGGCTAATGCTACCTGTTTGCATATTTGTGGTTAGTTGTATATCATAAATAATGCCACCATTTTTAGTATATAGCCATTATGTTTCGTCCATTATTGTAAACCATGTGTAAACTTTCCATTCCAACAACATCAATAATCAAAGAGGCTAAGTGTACTATTTGAACTGTGGCATGCTGGGGTGAGGGGCAATCAAGTTTGTGTTTAGAACTTTAAATTTCTTCTTCCAATGAGGAATAGGTCCAGGGTCATGGCATTTGCGTAAAAGCATACTTGAGGAACAGGACATTGCAGATATTGAAATTCTTTCATGTAAGTTGTTGAACAGTTAAGCAATTCAGGCCCATTGAGCCTCTTTCATATAGATAGGTCTTTATATTCAGATGACTATTAAGGTCCATGGGCCTCTAAGATCGCTGTGAGACAAACAAGTATTATGCTAAAGGCTTCTCAAAACTGACAGGCTAAATGATCCTGATAGTATTCTGATTGAGATTTGCATCAATCATGAACTTAAATTAACATTGCTCTGGTCCAAAGTTCACTCTCTGAATAAGGACCAATTGGTGGAACGCAGAGGACTTTGGGATAACATCCATCCTTAGAGGTCTGTCTATAATCATCATCAAGTGACAATAAGTGGCAGTAAGTTTGGTTAAGTCTCTCAGTGATCAGTCGACACAGAGTCCTGAGTCCTGTATTCACAGAATTTTGATGGAACTTAAAGAATTTCTGGAAATATTTTACATTGTGGGAACCATTCTTTTTAGCAATTAAGTTGAAAATGAATCATTAAAGTAAATTTTTCATTGATCACTTTTTTTTGGAAACATTCTTGATACAATTTGGTAAGCCACATGATATATATGATCGTAATACATCTTAGTACCAAGTTTTATGTTGAAGTTTGTAAAATTGTTCAAATTATAGATGGTGAATTCAATTTTCCTCATTTACCAGCAGCATACATGTACAGTGTCTTCAAGCTATATCTTAAAATTATTATAAAGTTAGTGACATTAAAAGATATGCTGTTAGCAAGATAAGAAAACATTAACACACAGAATTTCCATCTCATGTATAAAAGTTATGACAATGTTACCCTAGTGAGATTGACAGCTTGGCACACATGTACATTTCATGCAAATAGCATGGGTTATTGTGAAGTGTTTCTAGACACTTACCTAAACTATCCAGAGAAGTTAGCAATATCAGAAGAGATATTGTTAATGTGGTAATAATACATCCTTGTACCAAGTTTTATGTTGACATATATAAAGTTTATAGAGTTACAGAAAGATAATTAGCATCATTGACAAGTCCTAGAAGGTCTGTATGATGCAGTTTAATTCACTTGTTTGGTATATAACTCCCACTATTTCATTCCACAAGCTGTAAAAAGACCTTGTACCAGATGTACCATATATAAGAGTGGGAAAGAAGAATGGAAAAATAACTGGTGAAATGGATTTGGATTATTTTTGTGATATTTGTGTAGATGAAAGGTCACTAGTAGAAACAGGACATGATACAGCATTTATCATTCAGCTGTGTTTTAATCTTTGAACCACATAAACATTTGTTTTACTGAAGGGCCCAGAATTATAACATTTGACTTGTAGTTATAGGATAAAGCTGACAAATACCACTTAATGTAATGACCTGGACCTTTTTATTCAAGATACCAGGAGTCAAATTCATTAAAACACAGAAATGGCTTACAATCAGTAGTAGATAAATGTCCACCTGGCAGTGTAAGCTTGCAAGTTTCAAAGTTAAGATTTAATATAGATGCTTTATAAATGTTTTTTTTTGTGTAAACAATTGAATACCCTAGTGATGAATGTGCAATGCAGGCTCATTGGATCTCTTGTATATATGTGCATATACATATTAAAGAAAGTTTATAAATCAGCAGCCATTGAATTAGGTTTACAATGTTTTGTATACAGGGTCAACGCCTGAACAGTCCTGATATATCCAAAAGGAAAGAAGATACAGTCAGCCCAGTACAGGTGATTGAGGTAGGTAAAGGAGGTATAACATCATAGCCCTAGGGACTCATTGTTCTTTCATCGTCTGTCAATCCATCGACTTTTTCTACAAATCGCCACTAGTTATGAACAACCAAGAGGATTTTGACCAAATTTGGTGAAGAGCATTTTTTGGGAAAGAAGAGCAATTTTTTTTTTAATAAGTGGCGGTTCTCGAAAATTTGGTCTGAAGCATTCTTCGATGGAGGGGAATCAATTTTGTGTAATTGATGGGTCTTTTGGCCCCTTTGGTTTGCAGATAGGCTCGTGCCCAATAGGGGAAAAGGGCAAATTCTTTAAAAAGATTCTTTAAATTCACCAAGATGTCATTGGTCAAAATATGAAAATGATAATAACTCAAAAACAGGTGATTATACAGAAATCATGGGAGTAGAATAAAAATGATAAGAAACAGAACAATATGTCTTTTCACCAGTTGGTAAAAAGCCCTAATAATGAATCTCCAAAATGTTTTCAGAAGTCTTAATGTTCGAAGTGATGTTGCACTATTATCGGTTATGATCGTTTTTACTGATAGTAACTTTCTTGCAATTTTACATATCTGACTGTATTTTATTAGCCCACCATCATCAGATGGTGGGGTATTCAAATTGCCCTGCGTCCGTGGTCCGACGTCCGACCGTCCGTAAACAATTCTTGTTATCGCTATTTCTGGGAAAGTACTGGATGGATCTTTCTCAAATTTCATATGCAGGTTCCCCTTGGTCTCTAGTTGTGCATTGTACCTTTTTTGGACTGATTCGAATTCAAGATGGCTGACAGATGGCCATCTTTTATTTTGAAAGTAAAAGTTTGTTACCGCTATTTCTGGGAAAGTACTGGATGGATCTTTCTCAAATTTCATATGCAGGTTCCCCTTGGTCCCTAGTTGTGCATTGTACTTTTTTAAGACTGATTCAAATTCAAGATGGCCGACAGGCAGCCATCTTTTATTTTGAAAGTAAAAGTTTGTTACCGCTATTTCCGAGAAAGTACTGGATGGATCTTTCTCAAATTTCATATTCAGGTTCCCTTTGGTCCCTTGTTGTGCATTGTACCTTTTTTGGACTGATTCGAATTCAAGATGGCCGACAGGTGGCCATCTTTTATTTTGAAAGTAAAAGTTTGTTACCGCTATTTCTGGGAAAGTACTAGATGGATCTTTCTCAAATTTCATATGCAGGTTCCCCTTGGTCCTTAGTTGTGCATTTTACCTTTTTGGACTGATCCGAAATCAAGATGGCTGACAGGCAGCCCTCTTGGATTTTGGGAGTAAAATCTTGTTACCGCTATTTCCGAGGAAGTACTGGATGGATACTTCTGATATTTCATAGGTATTGGTTTCATTTTGTTCCCTAGTTGTGCATTGTACTTTTTTTGGATTGATTTGAAATCAAGGTGGCCCACAGGCAGCCATCTTGGATGTCGACAGTAATACAACACAAGCATATTGTCTTTGATAATCTATCAGATTGATTCAAGACCATGTCCATTATCCACCTGTAACTGACTGCTATCTAATAATACTTTGGGATCTTTCTCAAATGATATTTGCTAATAGGTGCTTAATAATAATATCTTGTGCCATCATTGAGTACATTCAATGAAGGCCAGTTCTTGAACATTTGCAAAACCTGTAACAAAAACAAAAAATAAATAAATCTTCAAGAACTGAAAACAGATCCTGAAATGGTGGGCGCCAAGATCCCACTGGGATCTCTTGTTAATGTGTATAAACCATTTCAATTTGTCATACTTGAACGGTAAAAGAATTATTGATTGATCCTCATTACTGAGAGATGAAGTGACAAATATTCCATCATTAAAATTGGGTAAAAGAAGGGCATATAAAGGTATGATAAACTGATTTTAATTCAGGGCTAAATAGAAAAATGAAACAGGAAAGTGCATGATCACTCAGAAGTCAAATTCATCATTCTATTGTTGTCTTAATATAACAAACAAAAATTTGATTAAATATAGACCATGACAATAATCACAAGGTACAGGCCATTCTGTCAAACTTAACAATATTAATTATAACAAAGTTCACAGTTTTAATGCCATTTCTGATTGAACCTTCTGTTTAAGCATAGGTTTACAGTCCACATACCTCAGGGTCCTTTTGATTAATGGCAAGTACTTTAGCAACAGAAATTAACATCTAGAGAAAGCATGAAATCATTTATTTGAAGAACTGCTATATTTTCAGAAAACTGACTTGATCCTGTCTTCTCAGTCTGGGGAGGAGTTGTTTAATGACCGACCTTGGCAGACGCTAATGAGTGACATAAAGGAGATTGGACAGGACACACTGCAGCAGTTTTCTCTTGCCTCCAGCCTACAAAAGGCATGTAGACAATTATGTCATGGTATATCCTGAATTAAGACACTGAAATGGTGCCTTCTAATCGGTAGAATGAATGTAGTCGCTCACTTTGGATCATAAAATATCATCATGAGATAATATTAACTTATCTTTTGGCTGCCAAACATAGCCAGTTTAAAAAGACAATTTTTATCTCACCTGGCCTGAAAGGCCAACCTTTTCCTTTCAAAAACTTCTTCTTAATAACCAATGAACGTAATGTCTTAATATGTTGATATGTAGCTGGTATGTTCCTAGGATGAAGGCTGACCAAGTTTAGGAAAAGAAATAACCTGGGCATATATTCAAGGTCACAGGTGTCAAATTTGTTCAAACCTTTAAACAACTTCTTCTCATTAACCAAAAGGTCTAAAGGTATGATATTTTGCTGGTATGTTCCCATGATAAAGCCAGACAAAGTTTGTGAAAAGAAATGACCTTGACTTATATTCAATGTCGTATTGGTCAAATTTGTTAAAACTTTTAAATGACTTCCCATGAACTAAAAGGCCAAGAGCACATGAAACATTAGGGTTCTAACCCAGTAGCACTGCTTCTGTGAACTTGCTCAAATTTCATATGTTGGTTTCTGTTCAACTTTAGTCCCCAACTTTGTTTTTGATTTTTGGACTAATAAAAACAAAACAAATTGGCTGACACATGGCCATCTTGGATATTGACAATGAAAATCACTCTTTCTTTAAAAGAGTCTCATGGATTTTTTAAATTTCATATGTAGATTCTTTGTGATCTCAATGTTATTTCTAATTTTTAGAAAGTACTTCATGCCTCTTCCTTTTAATTTGATATGTAGGTTCTCCTTGGTCCCTTTTTATGCCATTTTGATTTTTGGACTTATTAGAAAAGCCAAAGGGCTGACAGACAACAACTATCTCAGATTTTGACAACAGAAGTTTTTCACTTTCTTGAGGAGAACTGGATGAATCCATCTCAGATTTAGTTGTTGGTTATCCTTTTCCAAAATTGTGCCTTTGGATTTTGGGATAGATCAGAAAATGAAAATAGCTGACCAACAGCCATTTTGGATTCCTATCTAAGATTATTCACAATACATCTTTAAAGGAGTTTTTAATTTCATAGAATTAAATAAATAACACAGGACACAGTTATTCACGATTATATGTTGTCTGCTTCACAGAATTCACAAGGCAATGTCTTCACACTTCTTAGGAGAGCAAGCTAAAGGGAAATAGAAGAATCAAATTATAAAATTCTTCTTCTCTCATATGCCTGGACAGGTTTCAACCTAGCATGGCACCAAAAGTGGAATTAAGCTGATGTTTTAATGTAAAACGCTACTCCTGACACCCTGGGACTAGAGGGAAATTTTGAACATTTTCTTTGAAGTTTGAAGCATTCTTTGGTGCCACCATCATCAGTTACTGGGCTATCTGAATCACCCTTTGTCCAGGGTTTGTGGTTTGTCAGTCTGTACACAAATTTTTTAATAAGTAGGTTCCTCATGGTCCCTATTTGTACCAGTTTGACTTTTGTTGGATTGAGCAAAATTCAAAGGTAGGTCTCCCTGGCGACCATTTTGGATTTGGCAATTACTGATTAGTATAGCATTTTCTTATGAAGATTTTTTTTCCAGTTCATGGAATTAAAACAAAATAGTGAAAAGAAGAGAAAACATTCAGAAAAAAGGCAACATTTAAAGAAGAAATGACAGCGGTCATTGCCAAGATCCCAATGAGATCCCTTGTTAATGTTGAAATGTAGATCGATAGAACAATTACATGATTTTGTTTCTTGATTTTAGGCTAAGAAAAAGCAGCTGATGAGGGGGAAAGTTCCGTTTGTTATGGCTGTGATAGAAACTCTTGAATGGCCTGCTGGGAAGGATGCCTGTGTCACTCTCAAGGACAAGTCCGGTAATACAGATATCGACACCATGCCAGTTAGGTACCTTGGTAAAGGTACACAAAGAGGTCTAAAAAGGGAAATAAAGAAAATTCTTTAAAATTCTTCTTTCTTATGAATGTCAAGATTCTGTCTGAATTTGTTCAGAGCCATCTTAAAGTGAAGAGGAATCAATTTTATATAAATGGTGGGTGTCTACCTCGTGGGATGGGAGGAACTGGGCCCAGAAGGGGAAATTTTACGAATTCTTTAGTCATTCATATGCCTCATGTAGGAATTATTGGATTTTGCCCAAATCTGAGTGAAGGTTTATCAGTTTAGTATAAACTGTGGATCTTGAACCCTTCGCGCTGGAGAGGCAGTGCCCAATAGGGAAACAGAGCAAATATTTAAAATTCTTCTGTCTATGTAGGAAAGTCAGGATTCTATATCAGTTCAGTTTAAAATATCCTTGGATGAGGGAGACTCTTTTTTTTGTATGAACAGTGTGTGTTCCACCTCCTGGGTGGATGGGGGAGCCAATTGGGGAAAGGGATCATGTTATGTTCGTTGATATTGTTCTGCTTCTTTAGGAGTGCCTGGATTCATTCCTAGTGTTGTCTGAGGCTTTCTTTGGTGAAGGAAATCAATTTTATAAAAATTTTTGGTAAAGGCCCTCTGGATCAAATGGATATGTTACAAATTCTTAGAAATCCTATTTTGTAGAAATGAGAGGATTTAGTCTTAATTTGGTAGGGATGTGGACCAAAGGGAAAAAAAGCTGTAAATCTTTAGAATCCTTTTACTTAGTTTGTATAAACCAGGTGAGCAAAACAAGTATAAGTTAGAATATGAAATCATTCTTTTTGTGTGAACCTGGAGGTATATACTTAAAATGTCATTTGGTTCTTCATCGTTTAGAAAAAAAGTAACAATTAATGTAATAGTGACTGAAAATGATTTGAAGTAAAGGTGAAATATGTAGGTGAGTAATACAGGCCCCATTAGCTTGTTATGCTGTCCACAGCAAAGTCTATGAGAGATTGATGAAGGATTTGATTGTTTTTATTGTTTAATTATGTAATGGTATTTGTTTGGAAGGTTCTATCCAGGGCACCATTCATGAGAGCCTGATGAAGGAGCATGGATGTGACTTCCAAACAGGCAGTGTGCTAGTCCTGAGACAGGTAAATACACAGAACGGTTACACTGTCATACAATGTAGAGAACATATATTGTTGTCTGGCATATTGAAGTTGACTAAACAGTTTTAATTTTTAATAGGTGAAACCTGTATGATGATATTTGCGACATGGCAGCAACAGTGACCATTTTGTAACATGATTGTGCAGTCATGGTTTTTTCTGAACAATATCTTTTTCTAAACTTCTCAAATTTGATCAGTTGTACTCGGCCGAAACCTGCCTGAAAGGATCCCGACATAACATCATTTTTCATTTCCGTCAGAAATCTAATGTGGTGCCGATGAACACCTTCTTGAGAAATACATTTAAATTATTTGTAATTCCACTAGTGTCATTGATTTGAAATTTGGCGGGAAACTTTAAGAAAATGAGATAGCAATGTTATTTCACCTTTTACTGCTGAAATACTTAAGGAGTTGGGATGGGAGGGTCAGATTGTTTTTGTTCAGTTTTTTTTATTGTTTTTACTAGATAACCAAAAGTATTTAAATACTCCTCAATCGCCCTGCATACCAGGTGGTATCCAAGCAAGGGATATCAGAAACACCCTTATCTACACCTAGCACCTTGACATTGGCTCTAATCCCTGTGTTTACTTCTAAGTATTTTTATACTGATGCATTTAATATATAGTGCATGGAATGTGTGTTTTGATGAAATAATAACTGCTAGCTTTAATGGATATACAAACTGAATTGATATACAGTGGACTCTCGATAATCTGAATGCCGATAGTGCAGGAAACTCGTAATCTGGATGAAAATGTCCAGGAACACATTTCCATAACATTATTTGTACTCATCAGTTTGGAAATTCTAAATCCTGCTCTGGAAATGCATTTTGGAAAGGGGAGAGTCCTTGTTTTAGTAATATTCTCGGGATAGTCCAGAAATTTTTGTCACCACATGGAGAGTTTTGTTACACTCAGTCAGTCGTGTCACAGGTGTTCACCCGGTTGATCGCTTGACACTATGCATATTGATAACGACCACTGTCACATCACCGCCTTGGATGTTCACCTGTGTGGGGCGTGTCAGTTTTATGCTGTATGCATTTGTAACTACAGTATGCAATGCCTAAGTAATGTACATTGGTACCTTGAATAAGGTTATAATGTCACAAGGGAAGACTGTTAGGTTTATCATGAACAAGTTCTTTTTCTTCCCCCACAGGTGAGTGTCATCAGCCCCACATCACGGAACCACTACCTGAACATCACGCCTGCCAATATAGTGTGTGTGTACTGTATTAAGTCCAAGAGTCTTACGAGGCTTCGCTTCCTTGATAAGGATAGAGCACTACCCACAATCTTTAAGGACATGGAGAGGGAAATGATGGTTAACTTTACACCACAGAAATCTGCAACCAACATTTGTCAGTCGATGTTCCACATGGGGACACCAGATGTTAGGACTCCCCAGTCAGGATTAAACATGAGGACAACAAATATCAGGAACCAACAGTCAAGGTTTGCATCAAATACACCCACTCCGAGATTTTCAACACCTGATCAAAGATCTGTGAAGAATGATTCTGCTTTTGTTCCTGTGATCCACAAGCCAAAGGATTGGACTATCTCCTTTCACAGTGGTACCATTTCACCGGTAGCTACCCAAGGAGGTAAAGCACCTGTTAGTAAGATTCCCCAAGGAGGGATGGTGTCGACGATCAGTACTGCACCAGGATGTCCTGTAGATAGGACTACCAAGAACACACCTGGATTTCTAAGCATGTCAAAAGATCCTGCCACACCAGGTGTAACTAATTCTGACAGACTAAAACCTGGGCTAAATACTGGCAAATCTCAAAATCCATCCAAGGATAATCAGTCAGGTTTTCAAAAACCAGAAACTGCATCCTCTGCATTATTAAGTCATAATACACCAAGATTTACCAATAAGCCAATCACTTCTTCACATGTTATGTGTGCATCACCTACAAATATACATGTTGCTGGTAAAGGTCAGTGCCATGTGACCAGTTGTCCAAGTGTTGTGTCCAGTTTTGATTCAGATAGTAGCAATCAGCAATACAATCACCGATATACTACTGGTAATGTCAGTACAACAGGTTTAGATCTGTCCACTTCAACACTATCATCTACAAATACACCTTACAGAAAACGGTTCAAGTTCAAGTCGCTTACCTCTCCTGATAATTCCCTGGGTTTATCATTAGGAAACAAGTTTGACAATGTTCCACCTGTTTGCAGTGCTATCATAACATCCCAGATGAAAGCAAATGTGGGAGTCGAAAATCTATGGCAAGATGGTAAGTTTATCTTTCCAAATGTTTTTGTTCTCGAAGTAAAAATCTTTTAAGTCTTGATTAATTTTGAAGTTGAGTGCTTTGATTCTAGATTATTTTAGGTGTATTAAATCTAGGAGTGAATTTTCAGAAATAACTGCAAATATATCATCACTTCTAATTAAAATATATGTAGTTTTTCTTGGTGAAACAAGAATCAATGAGTAAGGATCTGCACAAAGTATGTCTCATTTCCAGGAATACTGTTTACACCTGAACACTCTGTTTTGTAATAACGGTATTGTTTGTACAGTTAATGATCCACTTTAAATAACAATCAAATACTGTCTAAGGAATGTGAATCAATTCTGCTCTCCATCATCTTAGACAGGATGTCTTCATCTTGCTCCCATCTGTAGTTTCACCCAAAGATGCCTCCACTTTTAACATTGAGATACATTTGAATGTTTTTTCTTTCTTGATAGACCTGAGTGATGATATTTTATCCCAGCTTTCTGAGGAACTTATGTAAAAGTTTAGTACCTGGAGAATTCTAATGACAATCTTGTATGGGAGTCTGGTGTCAAGGAATCTATGCTAAGGAACCTCTGGTGTCAAGAGGATCATTCGAGTGAAACTTGAGGGAAACATACCTGTGAAAGACTGAAAGTCTGTCATGCTTAAGGATTTCCTGTAATTATTGTGTAAAATTTTTTGAGTATCGCATGAGAGGAAAACGTGCAAGAGAAACTTGAATAATGGTCTTACTGTGAGGAGAAACAACAGTGTTCCTATCTTGTATGTAGTGGGTGTATAATGATACAAAGACAAAAAATCCATTTTAACATGAAATAGAATGGACCTTTGATAATGCATTAAGGCACATTCCTTCATCCAGATTAATAGCTTTCTTCTGGAGTTTTCTCCCTTGATTATATAGCGGTATTTTTTTAATGTGATATGTATTGCTTACAATGTTTCACCACATATATTTGACTTAATCTGGCTGCTAATTTCCTGAGGAATAAGATGATTTGTTATTATCCAGAATTGTTATAACTAAGTGAGTCGGTTACAGCAACATGAAATGGACATATGATGCATTATGTTCAGATTTGAAAGCGATTAAATACTGTTATTTAAAAACTGATTTTGTTTTTGTTTTTATTCACAATTCATGTTCATATGTAGCATCGCTAATGTAAAAATCTGTATCATGTTTTTCCATATTAGATATGTGGAAGTATTGAGGGGTGATGGCTCCATTGTCATTAGTTCCTCATGGGAAACCAGAGGGAACTATAGTTTTGTTTTGTATTTTTTTTTTTTTTCCAGCCATGCTTCAATCTGCTATCCAATCTTGGTCCTATCTTCTACCCTACTAATCATTGGAACTTTATACATGTACTTGGATATGGGTTCATCTTGTCAAGCCAGTAAGTTGCATATCAAAAGAAGGTCACTCTGACCTACATTTTAACCTCGGACCTTTGACCTATATCAAATATTTAAGATTGTCATGGACTTCAACACTACTAATCACAGGAATTTACTTGGATTAACCGTTCACCATACATGAACCTAATAATTGGAGTACAGTTCACCTTTGTCAGGCGATTTGTCACGAATGAACAGTAGGTCACTCTGACCATCATTTTGACCTTGACCTGCAATTAAGAAAACAATTGTCTTGGTTCAATCCCCTACACTACTAGTCACTGGAATTTCATACATAGTTTATGGGTTCATCTTGTTGAGGCAATGTGTTGGTGAAACTTATTCACCCATTTGTCTTGTTTCTCAAATTCTACTTTGTATTTCTATGTTATATATCGATTTTACTTTGTTTTGATCTCATAAAGAATTCACATTTGAAAATTTTACCGCTGTTACCATCAACGTTCAAAATCATATGAAAGGTTTCTGACAATGTAGATGTTGCCAGGTTTGAGTATTGAATATTTCAGAATTGATTGTGAAAGTTGGAAACCAAGACTACACCAAGACTTACTGTTGTTTTTTTTTTTAAACAATTATTTCATTTCATACTGTACCTGACTTGACTACATATCTAGATACATTATTTAGAGGTATGCTGTGCAAATGTAACATGAATGATTGAACACAACAAAGGAGGAGTGCCAGTTTTGGCCTTCTGGTGGCCATGGCGAATACTTTTTATTTTTTGTCTATTAAAAACTTCAGGTCAGGCGGTAATGACATGACATTAATCTAAGGTCAGCTCAAGGCTGTTCAGTTGTTATAGGGGGGACGAGTGGGGGATCAAATTCATAATTATTGCAATAATTATCAAACTAAAATATTTTTTTTTAATTTTTTTTCTCTTAAATGTCATTTGATGATATATTTTAAAACCTTCATTAGAAAAAATGACCAAAAAATATGCCATTGTTGAAAAGTAGGTCACGGTAATTAAGTGCCCTAATTTCTAATTAAGTCACACTTGAGCACCGTTTTTTGTCTTAATGCATCTATAAACATTACGTTTATCACATGCAGTGTATTTATTTGAAATATTTTTGCAAATTTGGATGATATTAAAATGAAAAAAAAATCAATTTGGCACCGGGTTTCACAGGATCATAAATGACCTTTGTCTATTACTTACGGGATTGTATTTTTGTTTACTGCTTGAGTAAGGGGAATGGTGGTGTTGGGATATTCATTTAGGAGTCACTGTCGCAGTCTGACCAGTTCACCTAAGGAAACTTGAGGAGGCAGTTGTTCATAAGAAAGATACCATAGGACAGATGCAATGTGGGCACAGCAGTCGACTACTCTGGCACCAACCTTACATTGACAATACCAGCCTGATATTGGGGTCAGTCCATTAGAATATTCAATCCAAAGATTGTACACCTTCAAAGCAACATGTCGTGAACGAATCTGAACTTTGATCAAGTCAGGTTTCTCCCTGCATAGCATAAGTTCATACTGACCATCTTCAGTTAAGTGCTCTTTGGTGTAGGATTTTGCCTGTATCAGCTGATATACCCCCATGGTAAGGTCTCTCAACTCTGGTTCTGATAACTTTGGGAAATCAGGCAAACTGGCCTCATTAAGCTTTACCCAAATAGACCGCTTCCTTGTTAACCCTTCTGCCTCAATAAGAGTTTGAAGTTTGTTAGGTGTTTTGGACAATGCCATCATTCTCTCGGCAATTACAATGTCATTGGGAGAATTCGAAGCAAGTGGAGGGCGAAATGCATTGCAAATTGCACAAACAATTCGTACAAAATCTCCTACAACGGGAATTAGTGTGTTTGGTAGTACATGTCCCAACGTCTTCCACTGCTTCATCCGTCCATTGGCTGACTCAACAACCCACCTTACCTTTGTAACAAGACGGGATTCATTTGCTTCTTTGACGGTATGATGCTTCTAACCCTTCGGTAGAAAAAATGGCATTTCTGTTTTGATACCAGAATCCCTCAAAAATCTGTCGCATCTCTAAAGCCTCTGTCAACAACAAGGACATCATAATCTTGAAACCAATCATTGATGTTCTCCATCAGAAGCTACATGAAGCATTGGCTTCAAGAGAGGACGTCCCTTGTGCATTGAGAAGGAGCGACGTTGGAATGTGTAATTATTGGATTTTTCAACATAAATATAAGTGTCATCAGCAACAACCACAGCGACATCCTCACCTGAAGCAAACATAGTCTTTGCAAACATTGTAGTATGGTTCTGGATAACTTGTTCTCTTGTGATGTGATGCAGGCCAATTAGGGAATGAACAAAGTGATTCATTAATGCTTTTCGAGCAGAGTGTATACATTTTCCACACGTTCGCTTTGTCATAGTGAACAAAGTAGCTAAAATTGCTAAGGACATGCCCGTTTTCAACTTTACAAGAACAGCTAATGCAGTCCTTGCACTTCTGTTTCGTGAAGAGTACAATGATGTGTTAACCGACTGTAAAAGCTCGGAAAACTGAGATTTATAAAGTCCTGCGAGTCGATAATAATCTTGATCAGTTAATCTATAAGGTGAATCAAAGTCCAAACAGTTTTTCTAGAAGCCAGTGATTTCAGTGAAAGCAGGATTTCTGATATTTCAGATGAATCCAGTTCCGAGTCTTCACTGGTAGGAGTGAGTGACTGAAGAACATCGGAATGAATATCACCATCCACTATATGAGAAGCACAGCACCTAGATGTGTTTGGAATCAAGACACCTGTCTTAATGAAAAGCTTAACTCTTAATTTCGTGCATGGTTTCACCATTTTACTTTTTCATCTCTGGACTTTCCACAAACGAAACATCGCGATTCAGTAAGCGTAGTTTGATTTTTTTAGAGTCAGGTGTCTCATTCTGATGGTCTAAACCACTGTTAGAATGCTCTACTGGTTCATGGTGTTTATAAAATCTCTCTGCATTTATTACATAAAGGGTCACCTAAACATAAATATTTATTGATGTTATCTTTCAAGAAAGACAGAACATCTGCCTGATTCAGACTATATATTCTGACATTATAATCTGCTTTGCAGCAAGCACACACTAGCATTTTACAAAAATAACAAAAAGTTAATAAAAACTAAACAAAATACTATAATACTTTTATATATATGTCACTCTTGTATGAATGAAATTATATTTAACGGCTTAGTGATACACAAGATATGTGCATAAGTCAATGCATGTACGAACTACACAGAACAAAGTATACTTATATATCTGGATATGCCATGTGTTACATACACTGCATTGTAGATTACTGAAGTTTGCTAGTGTTTGAAACAAGATCATTCACAAGGTATACATCAGGGAGATGTCATGATGTCATACTATTTTATGTTAAAGCTCTAGTGTCAAACCATCTTATGTTAAAGCTCAAGAATACAACTAGTGCACGGAAGAATTATTATACTATGAAATTTATTGTTTATAGATGCATTAAGACAAAAAGCGATGCTCAAGTGTGACTTAATTAGTAATTAGGTACTTAATTACCGTGACCTACTTTTCAACAATGGCATATTTTTTGGTCATTTTTTCTAATGAAGGTTTTGAAATATATCATCAAATGATATTTAAGAGAAAAAACTAAAAAAATATTTTGGTTTGATAATTATTGCAATAATTATGAATTTGATCCCCCACTCGTCCCCCCTATAACAACTGAACAGCCTTGAGCTGACCTTAGATTAATATCATGTCATTACCGCCTGACCTCAAGTTTTTAATAGACAAAAAAATAAAAAGTATTCGCCATGGCCACCAGAAGGCCCAAACTGGCACTCCTCCTTTCTTAACTTTGTCACAAAACCTGTCCAGTCTATTGTGGTAATGTTACTATGAAAAGTATGTTCCCTTCCCTAAAAGTATTTCTGGAACCAGAATTTGAATTTCCAGACTGGTGAGTTCAATGAACATCGCAGAATATCATTCTTCAAATTTTACGGACTATTGGTGTTCACTGCTAGAAATGCTAAATGATCATAAAGGAATTACATACAATGATCTCATGGACAACGTTTGTAAGCTGGTATAAATGTGACATTGATGTTTGTAAGCTGGTATAAATGTTATGATATTGACATTTGTAAGCTGGTAAAAATGTGGTATTGAAGTTTGTAAGCTGGTATAAATGTAACATTGACGTTTGTAAGCTGGTATAATTGTTGTGATATTGACGTATGTAAGCTGGTATAAATGTTGTGATATTGACGTTTGTAAGCTGGTATAAATGTAACATTGATGTTTGTTAGCTGGTATAAATGTTGTGACATTGATGTTTGTAAGCTGGTATAAATGTTGTGATATTGACGTTTGTAAGCTGGTATAAATGTTGTGATATTGATGTTTGTAAGCTGGTATCAATGTCGTGACATTGACGTTTGTAAGCTGGTATCAATGCGATATTGACGTTTGCAAGCTGGAGTAAATGTTGTGATATTAATGTTTGTAAGCTGGTATAAATGTTGTGATATTGATGTTTGTAAGCTAGTGTAAATGTTGTGATATTGACGTTTGTAAGCTGGTATAAATGTTGTGATATTGACGTTTGTAAGCTGGTATAAATGTTGTGATATTGACGTTGGTAAGCTGGAGTAAATG